AAGCATCATGCGGTCGATGAACGCGGCGGCCGTAGCCGAGGGCGTCACCCATGCCAGCTGGTACCAGAGAAGCGGCAGGCAGAGGGTGCGGAGAATGACGACCTTGCCAACGAGCGTGTTCGACTTGTACGACCAGAGCCGAAGCCGATCCGCAAACTTGTCGAGGGCGTAGTCAAAGCGGGCGTGTGGGCCAAAATGAGGCGCGACCAAGATCCCGAGAGCCTTGGTTGGTTGCGTGGGCTGGACCACAAGCGGCGAGAGCGCGTCCGAAACCGGTGCGTACGTGAGGAGCTCAGTTTTGTGACGGTTCAGGCGGAAGCCGGACACTGCACAAAACCGTTCGACCAGGGCGAGCTGCGTGTGGAGCGCGGGTTCGTCCCGTGCGATCAGTTGCGTGTCATCGGCAAAGCAGCTTGCCACGTGGTTGACCCCACCGATCTGGACCCCGAGGTCCGGCCGGCGTGACAATATATATTGCTCTCCGAGGCTAATATCACGCCACTTTCGACCGCACTGCAAAGTGGATCCGATCTCAGTGGTGTCATTGACATACTAGTGCGAGTCGAATCTACCGGTAATAGCTAATCGACTCCAATGCCTGAATGCACTACGTACTAGGATACTAGGACACCACACTTGTCGCATTTTAAACTGAAACTTTATATAAACTACACACTCGGTCCTTACAGCGCTTCAACCATATTCATGAGGTCCCCGTCGCCGCCGTCGTCGTTGGAGCTGTTGGAGCCGTTGCCGTTGCCGTTGCTGTTGCCATCGGCCATGCCCATGCCGAGGCCATTGTCAAAGTCGAGGAGGTTCGAGTCCATCGAGTTGCTGCCCATCATGTCGTTGCCGTCGTTGCCGCTCATGCCGCTGCCGTACGCCGCCATGTTAAAGCCGCCGCCCATGTTGGGGTTGGCGCCATATTGGTTGCCGTAACTGTTGCCGCCGTTGCTGCCGGGCATGCCCATGCCGTAATCGTCCATCATCATCGAGCTGTTCTTGGCCATCATCTGCTGGTAGAGGTTGTTGCTGCCGCCGTTGGATGCCGAGGAGGGTGCGCCCGACATCGAGTTGCGCATCATCATCTCAAAGCTCATCGCTTGCGGGTTGCCGGCCATGCCGCCACCATTGTGCGACGGCGGCATTTGGTTCTGAGGCGTGTTGGACGCAGAGTTGCGCTTGTCCTTCTCGCTCTTGAGCTTCTTCAAATACGGGCGCACGATCTTGATGACGTACTTGTTGACCTTCTCGAGCTCGTCCAGGTGACGCGCCGGCGCCGACGACGCGTCTTCCGAGAGAATCGACGCACACAGCTGCACATATCCGAGAAGGTACGTGAGCTTCTTCTTTTGCTCGCTCTCGTTCTGGTCCTTCATGTGCTCGACGTACTTGCGAAACGCGTTGTGGACCGTGTTGACATCGGCGAGGTACTTGGCCTTGAGTTGCGCGTGCTATTATCCACATTCGGTTGATATCTCGATATTTGGATCTTGATAAAAGGTACCTGTCGCCAGTACTCGGCCGGGTTGGTATTGGCGGGCGGGCCGCCGGCCATCTGCGCCATGAACGACTGCTCGTTCGGCTGCGGTGACGGGTTGCTGTTGCCCATCTTGTTGGGCTGTTGATTTTGCTGCGACGGCGGCATCATGTGCGGCGGCTTGTTGCCTTGGTTGAGACCACCTTGCTGCTGCTGCTGCTGCTGCTGCTGCTGTTGCTGCTGCGGGTTGAGCGGCTGCTTGCCGCCAGGCCCCTTGTTCGGGCCATTGTTGTTGTTGTTGCTGTTGGCGATATTGTTGTTGGGGCCGTTATTGTTGTTGGCGCCTGGTTGTGTGTGCTTGGGCGTGTTGGCCGAGCTCGGGCCGCCGCTGTTGGAGCCCGACGTGTTGGGAAACGACGGCCCATTCGACGTGTTGATGTTGAGGCCCGGCGACTGGCCGTACGGCGGCTGCTGCATGTACATGCCATTGGCGTCGCGGCCCGGCATGCCATGGCCCGGCATCATGTTGTGGCCCATCGGGTTCATGTCGCCCGCCTGCGTCTTGAGGTGCTGGAGGCGCTTGAGGATCTTGTTGATGTAGTCCTCCTGCATAAAAGAGGTCATGAGAAGACGTCGAGGACAAACGGATGGTGTACCTGGGTTTGGCACTCCTTGTACAGCTTGAGCTCAAACCATGCAACGTTGATCCAGAGCGCAATGCCTGGCGGGTCCGTCGAGACGCGGACCATTTCGTTGTACATCTTGGCGATCAAGTTGGTCCGGTGTTCCCTCGTAAACTGCGCGCGCCACTCCATGTTGGCGATGCTCTGGCCGTTCGATGGCGGCGCGGCCGACGGCGGCGGGTACGACGCGTTCGATGGCGGCATCGCGTACGACGAGGTCATGTTGGGCGCGTTCGCACCACCTTGGCCCATGTGCATACCCATGTTCATGCCGTGGCTCATCTGCTGCATCTGGGGCATGCCGTTCATGCCCATCATGTGGTGGCCATGGGGCTGGCCGTGGTGCGACGGCATGTGGCCGCCCATGCCGGGCATGCCCATCGGGTTCATGGCAGAGGGGTTGCCGCCGCCGTTGCCGCCGTTGCTGCCGGGCATGCCCATGCCCATGCCCATGTTCATGGGCATGCCGCCGTTCGCCATGCCGGGCATGTGGTGCATGCTGGACGGGTTCATCATGCCGCCGTGGTGGCCCATGTTCGGGTTCATCGAGCCGGCCATGTTGGGGTTCATGCCGCCCATCGAGTTCATGTTCATGCCGCCGCCCATCGGGTTCATGTTCATACCGTTCATGTTGTTCATGCTTCGTACGCCCCGCGGTCCGTCCCCTCGGCGAGTCTTCAATGGAAGGTGCCAAACACGAAATGAGAGTATAAAAATTCAAAAGAAAAATACCAAATTCCACGAATCGGCGTGCAGTATGCATTTTGACCAATCAGCGCGCAGAGACGACACCGTGATCCGGCAAGGTGTTTTAAACACCATTTCATGCCCGCATGTCGTCGCTCACCAAGATCTCACCTGCTCGCGGCCAATGCAACGACCGCCGGCTCGCACCGCGCCAAGCACGCAACATACTATGATGCCCAAGCTCTCCATGCTCGTCGCACCCATATCGCGTCGTCGAGTCCAACAGTATGCAACTGAGAAAACTGTTCCAGTCTGCAATCTGGATCAAGTGCTCGCGAAATTATCCTGTCAGCGGGCCATAAGACGCACCACTTCGTGTCTTCTACATACTACGCAGTTGTCGCAACGCATCATGCAGGTTGTTGTTGCGTAAGAACACCTTTGCACCCATCCCGATCGAGTCGGGATGCGGGTATCCGATAGGTAGACACCGCCAATCGTCGACACGGGCCGCAGGACGGTTGACGGTGTGCTACTACGTCTGTAGCGTCTTGTCATTCACGCAGAAGGAGCAGTACGACTTCTTCGAAAGCGGGAAGGCTCCAAGTGCCGGGTGGAATCTCAGGCTGCACTGCCAACGAGGATGGCATCGCGTTGGTTTCAAGTGCGTCGTCGCGAGACACAGAAGGTGCAGCACGACGCTAGTACACGCGGTTTTCATCGATGCATCTGCAAGGCTGCCGTCGGGCTTGCGACGGCACGGCTCGTTGGCCTGCTTTCAGCAAGCGCTCACGACGGTGGCGCGTGTTTTCAACATGTTTGAAACATATTTTGTTTTATACACATCGCGTACAGCAATGATTCTCTCCCTCCTTCAAAGATCCGGATAACAAAGCGTTACTCATGCGTGGCGTTGGTCGGCGCATCCGGATCGTCTGTGCCTATCAAGTCTCCGAGGCGCGCGGAAAGCCGTCGGAAGCGACTTGTTCGACCCACGGGCAGGCTGTCGTGTGTCTACCAGAGATCTCTCGACACAAAATGCCATTGTATAGACGTGTGCGGTCGCAGGGTACAATGATGGCACTGTGGGTTCTTTGTGCAAGACCACCGGAATCCAGTGATGAAATCTTGGGTTCATCTTCGGTTTCCGTGCTCCATGCAACAAGACAATCATGACATTCCACAACATTTTGACGCACTAGAGCGTGTGGTCGTAGACACTAAGAGCTGTGAGCTACAAGCTTCTACGCGAGCAGTAGCTTCGCGAGTTGCCGTTGGTGCCAGCCCGGTGGTATCAGTTCTGAGAGGGGAGATGGGCATTGTCGCTTCAAAGGCAGCGTGCGAGGATTGGTGCATTTTATCCGGTTTCATGAATGTGAGCCAATGAAATGGCATTGTTTGGATCGTAGACAGGCAGCAACAACGATCCCGCCTTCGCTGCGTGGTCGATCCCCCGTGTGGGGCGCATCGTCGCATGCAGTCCTCGTTTAAAGCACTCGAGTACACGCCTCTCTTATGATAGCACCTCGCGCGACACCACGTTGTGGAGATGTCGGTCGCCACATTGACGCGTCGTTGAAGGTAAACTCCCTCCATACCAGCCATTACATGTTGAATGCGACGTCGAGGTGTTTTTCACGTCGACGTGAAAAACAGTGTGCCACTACAACCCACCAGCATTTAAACTTTCATACTACTCTTTGTAAGGCCGCGTGGGCGCGAAAAATGATGTGGACTGGACGTGTGAAATATCCACTTTGCACCGAGAAAATCCCTCAAAGCAAACGCAATCACTATGTTATCATGGAAAGAGCAACTTCAACAGCAAAGATACCAACCCATCAGGGTCCGTCGTTGGTCGTCATCGCCCGCGAGCGTGGCGTCCCGAAAGGAGACACGCAGCACGGAGAGACTAGCGAGCCATCGCTGACTGTAGGAATCGTCGTCATCGGGTTGAAGCGCTCGAAAGCAAAATCAAAGCATTCGATTCGCTAAAATTAGGGACGTTTAGAGTCTTAACGCAGCCAATGGCCTTGCGCGGACGACCAGTAGACAACAATGAGCGTCGATAGCTTCCTCGTCGGGGCGTGGGCGAGCACGGAGGCCTTTGGCAACACGGCGCTGGACTGGAGCGAAGACGTCAAGGCAGGCAAGGCCGAGCTCCATTTGGCGTTCTCGGCCGACGGCCGCGTCACGTTTCGCATCGAGCAGAGCACCAAGACGTACCGCCACGTGCTACCACCCGAGAGCTCGTTTACTTGCGACGCAGCGACCTCGACACTCAAGATGCACCAAGACCTATCCGGCTTGGAATGGCACTATCAAAGAGAAGACGACGCCAACCTGCGGCTGCGCCTCGTCGGCGCAAAGCGCTTTGGCCGCTGCAACGGCGTCGACGTCATCTACCTCCGCCGGGTCGCGTAGTCGTAAGTACCCCTCAGCAAATGCAGCATGGGCATGACGCACGCTCGTGTTGTTGTCGTCATTATGAGCATGGCGCATTCTGGGTCGTTGCCGCAACGAGGTCCATGCGTTGATATGCCTGTATGAGGCGTCCATCGCGTGGATCCTGTCTCTACCTTTACAGAGCGAGCCATGACGAATGGGCGTAGCCACGAGGTCGACCCGAGCTCGATTCCCACTGATTGCAATGCGCACCATACCACGCACTACAGACAGTGGCTATGTTGGCGACATGATGATTGTTATCGTCGTAAGAAAACAACTAGGGCGTCGGCGTTGTGACGTAAATGTCCGTCACATACGGGTACAAGATGCAGCCGTCGGCGTCGATCTCGAAGTCGGCGGCGTCGAGGATCGCCATGACGTCGGCCTTGACGCGCGCTTGGACATCGGGCGTCGCGGTCGAGATGTACGACTTGGACAAGACGCGCTCCCAGATCTGGTCTTTCGACGCCACGGGCACCACTCGGCGAAGGCACGTGTGCGAGAGCGGGCCAAAGAGGTCCGGACTCGCGGCAAAGACGTTGGCCCACTTGCCCGTCCGGTACTGCGGCGCGACGCCGTCGTACGCTTCATAGATGGCCCGGAGCTTGGCCACCCACGGCGTGGTCGCGTCTTCCATGTTCCAAATGAGCCCGAGCGAGCCGTTGGGCTTGAGGACCCGGCGAAACTCGACGAGTGCGTCGCGGTTGTCAAACCAATGAAAGGCCTGTGCGATAAACAGTGCGTCTTGGGAGTCGTCGGCAACGGGGAGCGCCGTCGCCGTCCCATCGACGCAGCGCACGTCCGGGAAGAGCGCTTCGAACGTGGCGCGCATGCCCTGCAACGGCTCGACAGCAACGAGGTTGGCAATCTTGGCGTCGTTACGCAAAAGCGACGTAAACTTGCCCGTGCCGCTGCCAATCTCGAGCACGGTCGCTGTCGCCGGGTCGAGCGACGGCGGCCAAAGTGCGGCGAGCGCCTCGCGTGGAAACCCCGGGCGCGCCTTGTCGTAGAGCGATGCGTTCACAAAGCCATGCTTGGCGACCGCGTGGACAGCCTTGGTCGTCATGACTGCAATCTCAAAAGTGCAATCTCAAAATAAGGTCAAACGTGCTCAAAACAAGCCAAACAGATGGCGACGTGGGTGCGAGGAACGGGGCCCCTCGGACCTGGAACGGATTCACAGCTCATGATTCAGCTCATGCATGATTCATAGCTGGGCAAGACCGAGCCTTTACGAGCCTTTGTTTCCATTCGAGATGCGATCTGAGGTTGCCCATCAAGGGCAAGCAGTACACTGTACATGGCCTCAAAATGGTCTCGGAAGAGGGCCGCCCATCGAAGCTCGGACCTCGAGTGAAAGGCAATAATCTTGATGTTTGGGCAGGCTGGAACGCGAGACGTGGCGGCGAATAGCGGTCGGTGGGAGCGACCGCGATCACGCCGTTCGAGCCGATAGATGCCTACAGTCGCTGATCGAGATCTACCCAACTTCATGGATGACACTCAGCGGTTGAAACGGCCAACAGACCATGGTCAAGAAGCGACGAGCGGGCAAGGCCAGGGACGGCACGAGCAGTAGTAGTACCATTGCCATAGCATATTGCATACATCAGCGGTCGCATAGAGACCAAGCTCGATGTACAGGATCTCTCGGGCAACCAAAAACAGCTCGCGCTCGACACGTGCGCGATGTGCTCTACCTGCACGGTAGGATGACTGGTGCTTAGGCTCACGCAGCAGACGAACCTCGACTTGGTCGCGCGCGTCGACGAGCTCAAGCGTGAGCTCCACACCGTCACGCTTCGCGCCAAACGCGACGTGGCGGACAAGGACCTCGTCATCTCAGACCTCCAGCTCACGATTGACAAGTACGTTGCTGCTGCGAGATCGTACGACGCGGCTCTTCTGGCAGGCTTGAAAACTACATTTCGAATCTGCTCACCGCCCAAGACGATCGTGGCGACGACGCGGCGAATCCGCTGCAGCAAAAGTACGTCTGGATGGCGTCCGAAGCGGCGAAAGCGTCGGCCGCGCTGAGCCAAAAAACGCGCGAAGTCGACCGCGTACGATACCGCGTCTGGCTCGCTTGCTTACAGAAGATGCGTAGCTCACGCGCCGCCATGAGGCGTATGAAGCCCAGATCGGTCAGCTCCTAACGCGCGAGCATCCAATGCCACTGACGATTCCAGACCTCGAGCGACAGCACGAGCAGGTGCGCGATGGCGGCGACTATGGCGCATGGAGGATGTACATACGTAGATCGAGTTGCAGGAGCAGCGAAAGGAAGCATGGTGCCACTCCTTCTCCAGCTCGTGACGAATGCGACACCGCTGTCGCCGCTGCACACGCAAGCCCTCGACCAGCTCCACCACGCCCTCAAAGACTCGAAACAGTACATCATGGTCCACGGAGCTGCTCGTGTGCGATGCCAAGCCACCGTAGAGTTCCATTGTTTCTGAGCGCCAAGGGTCTGGACTGCGTCTGCGCCGCAGTGACCAACGCGCACCACAGTGACCGCACGCTTTTGGTAGCGACGACGGCGCCGTGACGCCGAGTCGTCATCGTTTGTCGTAGCTCGCCGTCAAGATTCTGTGGCGCACGAGCTTTTATACACCGTACGACTGCGCGTTTTTGGCGTCACCGGCAGCTTATGGAACGATGGCATAGGGCGATCGCGTCGCTTCGAGACGCCGTACGGCCACATGAAATGCTCTCGACACCAACGCCGTGGTGCAATAGAGCGTTTTCAGAGCGCTCCTGCACGCGATCAAGAGCGTTCCGATTGCGAGCTCGACGCAGCTGTTTGGTTTGACCAATCAGCTCTTCCGCGCGACGCTGCCATCGCCGCCGCACTGCACCCCAAGCGCACTCGGTCGAAAAGCATCGCGCCTTGAAGCCGTACTACGTTGATCCCGACAAGGAGCTCCATCGTTCTGCGTAGGTGTACCTCGACAGCCTCGGGTTGTTGCGCCATGTCGTGCTACCTCATATTGCCGCCGAAACACCGCATTTGGTGTCCATGACGTTGCAAGCCATGTACAAATTGCTGCAACTCACACCGCTGTGCGTCCTGGCGCTCGCCGAGACACCCGACTTTGGTGCGTCGATGCTAACCTCCTACTTGACAGCCCCCGAGACCCAGGTAGCCGCTTCGACGTTCACATACACTACACTGCAGCATACTACCTATGGAATAGCTTGTCGTGCTGCGTATCCTTCACCTCTACGTCCTGCAACACGGCGTGCAAGCCATCCCCGAGGTATATATCTCGTCCTGCGTCATGTCGTCGACCGACGAGCCACTAGGCAGCCAAAACCAACGTCGATGCCACCTACCACGCGTACTCGTCCTTCTTCTACACTTTCATTCGACAGGCAGTTCCCGCCTAGGCTGGCCCACGACAGTTCGCTGGACAAGGGCGCCCACGCCGAGGTGCTCAGTCTCCTCGACACGTGGCGGGCGTACGCCTACGCCCCCTTTAAAGACGCCGAGACGCCAATCCTCGACCACCTGCCCATCTTACACACCACCGCGTCGATAGCTCCGCGGATTCGCGACAAAGATGCATTGAGCTGCACCGAATTTCCCGTCGCGACCCGCCTCATCTCGCTTTCCGCCAGTCTCCCCGCCTTGTAACATGCATCCCACCAAAAATCAACTGCAACGCTGTCTGTTTGTGTATTGCCGCGCTAGACACGTCCGAGTTACGGCAGCAGGGCATAGTTGCGGCGCTTCAAGTAGGTCCAGAGCAGCTACACAAGAGGAAAGAGATCGTCGTCATCCGTCCTTCCATTTGGCAGCAGCTACCATGGGCACGGCCGCGGCCACGCAGACAAAGAGCACGCCTTCCACGCTGCTCGCCAGCGCATGCGACATGGTCGTCGCTTCCAGCGCCTAGTTCCACACTGCGTCAACCTCTACCCAACGGCACCGAGATACGATACCATCACAGCGAGCGGAGCCATTGGCGGTGCCGGGGCAAACGTCCAATGACGTGGCACGGCCTGCGACGCGTGCACACCTTGACGCGGGCCAAAGCCAATGTGCGTGATCGAGAGCGGCGGCGTCGATGCATACGACGTGTGTCCGCTGCCAACGTGCGTGGTCTCTAGGACGAGGCCGCCGTCGACAATCACGTGGCCAGGCCCGGCCGAGTAGACAAAGGTGCGGTTGCACGCCATCGCGCCAGCATCAATCGTGCCATCCCCGAGCATCGACACGTCGTGGTTGGCGCATGTCACCGCTAGTATGGTACATGACAACCTGTCCATTGTCAAAACCGACACGCACCGTGCTGACGCGATGCAAAGGCAATGTCGCCTGATCCCGCCATGGTCGAGCGCAGAAAGGGCGCCGAGAGCGTGCCGGCCTCGAGGTACACGTCCCCGTCCGACGCAGCAAACGTGCTAGCCGAGCCGTTGTGAGCCAAAAAATGACCAAAAATCAGAAAAATGGAAAAATCGCACCGCACGAGGTTGGCGTCGAGGTGCGGCGTGGCAATGGCAATGGCACCGGTACCCATGGCCTTGACCTCGAGCGTCGTCTGCACCGCAAGGCGCGACCGCAGCTGCACCTGCACCGCGCCCGACCCATAGTTTTCCAGCGTCAGCGAGCCAATCTCGAGCGGGGGCGCCTCGTTCACGTAAATGCTGCCCGTGGCGCGCGCCGTCAACTGCACGTGCGAGCGGCGGCCCACGTCATCCGACGGCAAGACCGAGCCATGGATTGGCGGCAGCAGAACCGTGTCGGCCGTCGTCGACAGATACCTACACCGACATATGAGCTATTCGCATCGCCTACCGCGATAAGTACCGCAAGCGGTGCGGCTGGTGGAGCACGACGTGCACGAGGCTCGTCAGCGATGGCGCCCACGTGGTTGCTGCGTTCAACGTCAGCACCGTGAGGCCCTTGCGCAAGAGCAGCGTGTCGACGTCGAGCGGGCGTGACGACTTGGCCGTGTACACGCTGCCGTAGAGGTGCACGGTGACGAGGTTCGTGTCGTTGGACGGCTCGTACGAGATGCAAACACGCCCCGGGATGCGCACGAGGAGGCCATCGATCGATGACGTGGCATTGTCAGCGCCCACCAAGAGCGTGCGCACAGGCGTCGCGGTCGGAAACTGAATCGTCGCGTCGCGCGAAAGCATGCTAGGTAGATGATTGTTCAACGAGGAGGCAAACGGACAACTGCCACCTCGTAGCAACCGCACAAAATGATGGTACGAGACTTGAATGGGATGGTTCTTCTTTGATGTACATTGACTACTCCAAGCATAGAAGCGGTGTATAGAACGCCCGTTCGCAGCGCACGCTGGGCGGAACGTGCGCTTGAAAGTCGGCGCGCATCGCGGCCGCGTGCTCGGCGAGGTACGTGTCGACGGCGGCTTGCGACGGCGCCGTGTACCGGCTTCGGAACGTCGTCGGGTTGCACTGCTCAAACTCGGCCTTCATGAAGCAGCCCGTCGCAAGCATGTCCTGGAGGTGGCCGCCACGCATGTAAGCGAGCAGCATGGCGACGCTCTCGGCGTCGCAGTAGTTGGTCACCTCGTACACGATCGGTGTTGTCGTCATCGTGCCGGCCTTTCCGAGATTGCCGTTTGGCTTGTTTTCGGCATTTTGGGACCTTTTAAAGTGGCATGTGCCGCAAATACATCTGTTTTTTTTGCCATATCGAATGCTCGGGTGCTCGTACACCGCCGACCTCGCCTGGGTCGCGGCCACGGCGACCGCGTACGCGACAGGCTCGGCCGCTGGGCTTGGCCTCATGGCGTCGCTAGGCGTCGCCTTTATGATCACGTGGTACAGCCTCCGGACGCTCGACCGGTACGCCTTCACGGCTCTTTTGCACGCCGAGGTCGGCGTCTGGGCGTCGTCGCCGGCGCTCGCCGTGGCCCTTCGCCTTGTCGACGGCGCCTTCCACATAGCGCTTCCGTGCTATCTGCTCGTCAAGTACTTGGACGCGATTCAGCTCTGGATGAGCCCCGTGTCGCTGGGCTTGGTCTACGTCGTGCATCACCCGAGTGTGCCGATGCCTGCCATCGTGTCGCGCCTGTACATCGTTATCCTTGTGCGTGGCGCCTCTGATGTCGTGAGCTAGGTACCTTCCGTACGAGTTTACGCCGCCACGGCCGCCGCAGTTTTGGGCCGCGCTCTACAAGATGGAGCTGCTCTTGTGTACGAGCATCCCGCTCTTGGCCTGCCTCGTCTGCGCCGTAAGGTGGATCGATACGCTTCTCGACTGCAACACTTGTGCTAGCGCTCGTTCTTTATGTACTCGCTGACGCTGCTCATTGGCGCCATGGTCATGACAATGCAAGTGCTGCGGTCGCTTCTCCTGCCCAAGATCCGCGGTGCGGCCGCCACCATCATGCACCGCCTGCTCCAGCACGGCGAGATCCAAGTCGCCAACCCCGATGATGCAACGACGACCGTTCCGGATACGCCGTGGGTACGCTTTCCCTTTGCTTGCCATATCCTGGCACGATGTCATTTTTCTGCAGGACATTGTCGTGCAAGACCATGCGTTCTGGCTCGACTGGATGAGCGACGGGCTCGTCGCGATTGGTGACTCGTTTGTCTCGGGGCAGTGGGAAGTCAACCCGAACGGGCAGCAGACGCTCGACTCGATCGTGCTTCGGCTCTTGACACTGCCCGTGGAGGCGCGGCGGTGCGTAGTTCTCATCCCACTTCCATCGTATGCATGTGCGTCGCGTGTAGAGAGATGTACCAGTCGTGGTACGCACGCGTCGTGTCGCTGGCGGCGCGCATCTTTAGCTACCCGCCGTCGTCGGCCGGTCTCATTGGCGCGCCGGTACTTAGTACTCTTACGTTCGGACCCCTAGCGTCAAGGTGTAGGTGGCCGAGCAGTACGACGTGAGCGCGACGTTTCGCCAGCCCTACATGGCGTCCAGCCCGTATTTCTTCCATGGGTTTGGCCTCTGGGCATCGCCGCACGACAGCATCGTCGAGGCCCAAGAACGCACGTTGCACATGATGGCCGAGAAGCTCCAGCTGCAGCCCGGCGACCATGTGCTCGACCTGCACCTCGCGTCGTGCGGCGGCGTTGGCGTTTTCTTTGCCAAGTATTACAACGTGCACGTGCTCTCGATCCTCGGGTCGCGCGCGGACGAAGGGATCGCGGCCAAGATTGCACGCCGCGCCGGGCTCACGGACCAAGTACAGCGCCTCGTGGTCGAGCCCGGCCTCGACGTACGACGCCTCTACAACAAGATCCATTGATCGCGACGTGCCTGTATGGGATCGTAGGTGGCCCACGCGCTAAGCACGCTTTTGCCCAAGCGGTTTCAAGCGATTGCGGCGGCCCATGTCGTTGAAGTGCTGCCAGCGATGGAGATGCCGCGGCTGCTCTCGCTGCTCCGGGACAAGTTGTCGCAGAACGGCCGGCTCTTGCTCGACTTTGTTGCGTCACCGACGCGCGCCAACACCCATGCGTGGTCCAACAAGCACATTGTGCCGCGGCAGCCGTTTGTGGCCGTGTCCTACTCAACGGTACAATCCTGCGTTGGAGGATCCGGGTGCTAATGTATGTATGGTCGTGAGGGTAGGTCAAGGCGGCGCTCATGTCGGTGGGCTGGACGATCCTCGAGGCGCATTCGTACGCCGACCACTATGACAAGACGTATGTGGCCTGGAACGACGCGTTCCAAGCGACGTGGACGGAGAGCTATGTGCGCGAGCTCCCAGAGAGTTTTCGCCGGACATGGGAATTCTACCTCCTTCACACGGCCGCGTGCTACCGCGCTCGGAACCTCCAGGGCTACCAGGTGACGCTGCAACCGTCCTCGCTGTGAGACGACGAGCCATTGTACATTCCACTACCACTTCCTTTGCTTTCTTGCGAGCTTGAACGGGGCTGTCGAAGATTTACCACTGTACTGGAGGATGACGGACCTGTCGGGCGTCGCCTGTATGCTGCGTAAGCAGGCATCCACAGGCGTGACAACCGAGTCGTGTTGGACCTGTCTACCCCCACTCGCACGATTGCATCGGGTGCTGCCAGGCACAGGCGCGCAGCGGCGTGCAGTATCTGAGACGACACCGCCAACAAACACTGGACGTCGTCGATGGATCAGCATTCGCATCGCTGCAAATTGATGGCGAGGTGTCGTGGCCGGCGTTGGCAGAGTGCAATCGTGGGCCACGAATAAGGTCAAGGTACACTTGGCCCTGTTGATGCTACATCCTACGCGCTTGCAGCGTGGACCGTGACATGTCGACGGCGCGGGTCTATGCAAGTGTCGTCGCGCGGCCGTTGTCGAGTCGCCGTCATGTGTCAGCACCCAGTGGCCAGCACCAGATAGAAAGCGCTTTGGACGCTGTCCTTTTGCCGTCTTGCCATGTACTACAAGACGAAAGAAAGCAACGCACAAGTACGCGTGCCACTTGGACGGCTGTGACCGCCTCGCCCAGGGCCACGGCCTCTAGCGCGTCTGCCACACTGCGTCGCCTAGGACCGAGGTCGTGGCTTTTACATCAAGCACGGCGGTGGCTGGATCTGTCTTGCAGACGGCAATGTAGCCCACGTGGAATCGACGCCGCCATCGGTTCGCATCCTCCATCATTGCGGTGCATACAAACCACTTTTCACATGGAGTGGGATGCTTGCGTAGACGATATATGGCAGCCGGAATCATCGCGTTTTCCATACACTGGCAACGGGAAAGACAGCGTCTGGATTACTGTACCTTGCAGTCACGCACCTTGGCACAGATTCGGGTCATCTGAAGCTGCTTCGAGACCCGTGGCCTCGATTCGGCGCAGATGGACGACCTGCGAACGGGCGGTGTGAGTCTGTCCTGCAGAAAGGACACCATTGATGGCTCGGCATCCGACGCTGCACGTTCCCGACGACTTCTTTCGTACCCAGCAGGTTCGCCGAAGCGTCTATGCCGTGGGACGAACGACGAGCTCAACAAGTTTGGCAATTTGGTGCCGTGCCATGGGTGGTACCGTACGTCCTTGGGCCAACAATCGCCGGATCCATCGCACATAGCGGCTGCATTAGCACCGCATTGGCCACATTGCGGTGAGAGACTGGGCCGCTCCCACGTCATCATCCCCCGAGCCATAACATCTGGTACCGTTTACTCATACAACGTCATAGAAAGACAGGTATTTAAGTACCGTCCATTGCTGGTCGTGGCGTGAACACGCGTTGCAGCTGTCGTTGCTGCCCGCCAGACGAAGACAGGACACTGATAACTAAACGACTTGGTATCCTGCCCTTGTCATTTTCATTTTTCCCACGACGACGATGCTTGTGACGCTGCTTCTCAACGAGACGACACCGCCGACGCCACTCTTTCGGTCCATCCCGATCTCGTTTCTGCTGTGTGCGGAAGACACGATCGACGACGTCAAGCCGCCCAAGAAGAATGTGCCCAAGTACTGCTGCAACATGGACGGCTGTGACCGCGTCTCGCAGCGCTTTGGACTCTGCCACCGCCACGGCGGGAAGCGAGCGTGCAAGGCACCCAACTGCGAGTCCAAGGACCGCGGCAGCGGCTTCTGTATCAAACACGGCGGCGGCCGGCCCTGTGAGATTGCCACGTGCACGAAGAAGGTCCGGCGAAAGGGCGTGTGCGCGCAGCATTTTCGCCAGCTCTACCACGCCTCGCCGTGACTTCAAGTCCCAAACCCCCACACTACTTCTTATTTAGTCGATCGACACTCTTTTAACGACAACTTGTGCGCCTTTTTTTCAAATCTTCCTTCTCACGGTGCTGCAGCTCTGTGATGACTACTGGTACCAATAGAGCCACATTGTATGTACGCCTATGACGACGTCGCCGCGCCGTGCTCATCCACAAGTCGTCCAGTCGTCCCTCTAGCCGATCTTACGCGCTTGCGTCTGGCATTGTCTTTGGGTCGAACGCAACAACCGTGTCTTTCGCTCGACGCTGACGCAACTTCCCGCTGCCGCGCTCGCGATCCGGGCAGCAACTACCGCACGACTGCATATCCGGCACTTGGCTCGTCGCGCTGTGGTGCCATCTCTTGACGCGTCGCTGGTTGCTCTCCGTGACGACCCTAGGTGTGCACGCTACTTGGTCCCTCGCACAATCTCGAATCACGACCACTAACGCTCCTCGCTGAAGCACCGGCCAAGCCTCACGAGCGCATTAGGAAGTCCACCATATCTTTATAATTGCATGTAATATAACTCAGTTCAACAACATTGTGTGTACGCTACATCTGCTCAAGACAGGCACGTACGTGCGATTGCGCTTCTGCCAGTCGAGGTGTCCATGCAACGGGAGCGGTAAGCGACCGACCGGCGCACCCAGCATCTTGCCCTTGTAGAGAGACACCGAGAGAGCCGCTATTTTGGAATCCATTTTGGCATCTTTGTACTCCACATGGCTGGATCTTGGCTGCAGATGGACGCTGATAACTCGGCGCACACCACCGAAATTGCTCCCGCCCAAATTATGTTCAAGTTGGTCCACCGCCAACTTCAAGCACGAGTTCCGGATACATGAAAGCATTACGGATACCAGTCACATCCAAGCGAAATGGCACTGCGCCGCAGCTGGCACCGCCCGATCCTCGGGGCTCGGTACGTCGCGCTGCGCCGACGCGGCTAATGCTGGCTCTGCTAGCGGCTTCTTTGACAAGGTCGGCCGCGACTGGGAGACTGCGTGGACGCAGCAGGTCACGCCGTGGGAGCTACAGGCCGTGAACCCGTCCTTTGTCGAGGGCCTTGCCCACGTCGAGAAGCGGGGCGGTCGCGCCCTCGTGCCCGGCTGTGGCTCTGGCTATGACATTCTGCATTTGAAAAGCAAGGCTGGGCAGCGACGGGCCTCGATATCTCGCCGACGGCCGTTGCCAAAGCCCGAGCCGTCGTTGGCGACAACGTCCGCGTCGCCGACTTCTTCACGTACAGCGCGCCCGAGCCCTTTGACTTGGTGTACGACTACCTCTTCTTTGCCGCAATCGAGCCAGAGATGCGCGGTCGCGCCGCTGCGCAGTTTAAAGCGCTCTTGCATCCGACATCCGGTGTTCTCCTTACGCTGCTTTTCCCGTATGTGACCGAGCATGGGGCGATGAGGAAAGCCGGACCGCCCTACGAGCTGTCACTCCAAGACTATAAGGACGTCTTGGAGCCGGCAGGCTTAACGCTGCAAGCGACGATCCAGCCGTCGACCAGCATCAAACCCCGTCGCGGGCGCGAGCTCCTCGCGTTCTGGGGCTGCACCCAAGAAGCTTCGTAGCCAGACGGGACCTTGGATACGAAAGACGACACTCTGTGTACGTGTCTCTTCTTGAAGTAGAAAATCAAAAGAATCACATTCCCTCTCGCGTCAAGTCGGCTAGTCTAGTTCGACGCGTGCACCGTACCGCATTCTAGTCGAGTGGATGGCTGGTATCGCTACTGGTAGTCGCACCCCAAATATCACAGCGCAAGTAAAGACGAGCGCGGGTATGCTCCACCTCTGGCCACTGGAAGAGATCGCGCAGGGTCTCGAGCCTGGATTCCCCCAAAATGTCGGTGGAAGGTCAGCGTAAAAACATCCAGGCGCATGAGCATCGCATCGATTGCACCGAGCGCGACACACGCAGATGCATCCGAGGTGGCCCCTTGCATTTATATTGCTTGTTTGTTTGGGTTTTCAGTGCTTGACCTATCGCGCAACAGTACTTTGCCGTCGAATGGCGTCAGCGCGCGTTTGGCTGACGTGCGCGGTGGCTATCCGCCATCCTGTTTTGCTGTAAACTTACTCCCATTGCATGCTTTCGTTTGTAGACGCAGTAGTGCATCCATTAGGCGATAAAGCTGGTCCACGGGACATTGTTTCCACCAATGCTATCGTCGCGCATGCCTATCAGTTCAAATAATGATCGGACCCTTCTTGGGGCAGCTCGTAGGCTCACGTTTTTGGTGCAAGGTCTGCACGCAGTTCTGAGCTCGAAGCAGGGGGAATGATAGTGTCGTGAAGTCCATTGAGATGTGTGTAGCGCGCATTCTTGGTTTCCCTCGTGGTAGTGTGTCTTTCCTGCAATGCTCAACAAGGCGTTTGCATGCGCAACACCACGGTGACGTTGCTGAAATGAGTTTGTAATCTGCATGCAGTATTGTATTCATTTCCGGCTCGCACCTTGCTTTCTGATTTGCCATACATTGTGCGTGTTGCCGTAGTGTGTGTTGATTGGTTCTATTTCTTGTCGCCAACTCAATTGGACCAATCACTGCGCGGTTTGGAACGTGCAGCAACATTAAACATCAGTCGAGCGCGCAGATATCGAAATAAAAGCGTGACTCCAAGCGCTGGTGGGAGCGAGATCCGTGTCTTGGTACCCAAGAGCTCGTGTGATAGCCGAATGAGTGCTTGTAAGTGGGTGCTTGTAGCCACTACGTTGCTTACTTCACAGAGCAATGAGAAATTAGCACCGAGGCCAGTAGATGATGCTTTCACCGCCATTTGCAGTCCATTTGCAGTGGCAGCTAATGGGTGAGATTTCTACTAGCGTCGAAGCATCGGATCCCACTTGCATTGATATATTTCGCTAGCATGTGGCTTCTCGCGCCGTGGTGTCATCGTTTGCCAGGTCGCTCAACACTCCTCGCCGAGACGACCCTTGGTGTGCGCGCTACCTTGTTCCTCGCATAGTTCCAAATCACGACCACTAACGCTCCTCGGTTGCCACAGCGGCTTGCTTCACGAGCGCATTCCAAAGTCTACCATCTTTCGAAATACATGCTCAAAACTCATTTCAACCACAACTTGTCGTCCTCAACTACTTTTTTCGTGCTAAATGGTTTGTGCACCAGCTGCCGTTTTGGCCACGTTCTGCGGTCGACTCAGTATCGGGACAACACGAGTCCGCCCCCGTATCGAGTTTGTTTGGGGGTACTAACTCCCTTTCATTCTTCCCATTCACGTATCAACTTGAAACAAATCCAGGACGCTCCACCACGATATGTTAAAAGTTCATGTCATCACTACGCGAGTCGACTTTGCCGTAGCATAGTATGTCACCGACGTACATCGTGGTCGAGGATCGAGAGGAAGAGGTCGTCGCCGTTGCTGGGAAGAGAACCGTGCGCGCTTCGACGCTCGGCGTGCTTCCGTACTCCATGCGCAGTGCTTCGAGGGTGACGTCTGGCGACTTCATCGAGGCGGGGCGGCGCCGGCGCTCCGAGACCGGAGGCTCAATCAGTTGGAGGAGGTTTTCCCGCATCGTGCACGGGTGGTACTGCCGGTTCTGCTTGGGGTCGACGATAGTACTCTCAAAATCATCTTCAAAGAGTGACGGCGTGCCTTCATACTCTGCACTTGGATCTGTAAACGGACTGCGAAGTGTGTACTCGACCATAGAGCCAACGCACGCATTGCAGACGCGCTTCTGTGGCTCGGCCGTGCAGCTCTGCGTGCAGTGGCGACAAAAGATCTACATAAACTCGAAAATGAGTACCCGTCGGTCCACTTGATCAAAGACCATACCTCGCCGCAGATGGCGCAGTTGTGCTTGCGGTGCCATTGCCGAAAGAACGATGCGAAGCTCTTGTGGCAGCCGGCGCAGTGACTGCGGCTATCGCGCTGGACCTTGATTGAGTCTCTGGTTACAAACCTCTGGTAGTCCGCTCGGTACTCCTACCTCGGTGGGACGGCCCTTGACTCGCGACACTTGGATCGAGTGGTGGATCGTTTGGAGGCGCGCCGCGCGCTGGCGCACGATGCGCGTGTGCAGAAAGGATGGGACGCGCCCCTTTAAATCCATATCGACGATCGCACGCACTTCGAGGACGCCTTGCACCGTTGTTTCTGTCACCACGATCCTACATCGATATGTCTCGTTGAGGTTTCAAAAACAGTTGAAAATCAAACCCCGAGTTGTACATCGAGCCGCGGACGAGGCCGACCGAGCCTTCCATGTCGGGGCACGCCTCGTGAAGGCGGATCGAATGCTGGGAAATGACAAACGCGCGGGCGCCCGTCGGCAGTAGCACATTGTCGTGGACCTCGAGGAGGCAAAAGTCACGGTTTCGCAGCGGTTTCAGGCACTCGATGGCCATCCATCGCACAAAGATGCGTCGGTGCGCGAGCGTTGACGGAATCTCGAGCACGATCGCGCTGTCGACGACGCCGTCGTGGGGCTGCTTGAACGGCAACTGGCCTGGCTCGACCGTCGACTTGGTAAAGAGCGCGATGAGCTCTTGGAACGAGGCGTGGATCGTGGTCGAGGCCCGGAACGGTGTCGTCGCCGCGTCGTTATTGGCAGGTGGACCTTGAAAGAGGCGAAGACTTGGCGACTCGCGCACGCACGGCCAAAGCTTGGCGTCGTAGAAGGTCAGTTGGGCGTCGCAGAGCTGGCGGACGTTGGTTTCTGCGAGCGACTCGAGGTACTTGGTCTCTTGTGCCGAGAGGGCTTCGTAGCGAAACTTGGAGCTGGAGAGCGTCGTGCGTGGACTATTGGCCGAGGACGGCGGAGCGGTACGGACCATGGGATGAAAAGAAAGATGATGCGCTAGCAAGAAAAAAACGCGATGGGTCCGGTGCACTCTTTGTCGAGTTGGACACGGTGCAGCGTGATGAGGCCAGTGAAGGATATGTAGGCGCCATCATCTGCTACTTTGGCTCCTCCTGAAGTTAGTTGCCACCGACTGATTCTGAAGCAAGCATGTCGGAAAGGCGCACAAAAACGTGAAGTCCTCATCCGTTGAGGCAAGTAGCACAGAGTGGGACGTCCGCGCTGCAGTCGAAGCAACCGCAAGAGACATCGACGTCGACACTTTCTATTCTAAGTATGTATGAAATGCACTATAGTCACTCGCAATTGTCACGCGCAATGCTATGCATGCGCTTACACACCCGATCGAGGTCAGTGAAACGCCCGCCAGTTCAAGTCCGCGCGCTGCGTTTCTTTGACGTCGACTCCGTGCTTGATTACTATAACGAATGCATGGATGGACGATGGACGGTGCCATTCTCATGCAGGAGGAAAAGGGTCCAACGCTGCCACAGCAGCGAAATACGACGGTACTAACCCCTTTTGCTTTGCCATACAGGCGGTTGCCCTTCTACTAAACCTGCTAACGTTACTAAACAACATAATTGTACAGTACATACCAAGCGCATTTTGGGGCTTGCTTGGAATGCGTGCGCACGTCACGACGCTGGTTCAGGAGCTCAACGAACGGCGCTAAATTCCACGCACTCGGCAGCAATCACTATCCACTAACGGCATGATTGGTAGCAATGACCATCCACAAACTGCACGACTGGAGTCGTACCTGCATGCTCTATGGCGCCGACTTGAATTCGCGCCGCACAGCACTGGGCACTGCAGACGCTGCGTCACGCCTGAGCTTGAATACTTTGACGACGACCGCGTTTATGGCGCCAGCAACCGCCCAACGTCCTCGATCGCGTCACGACCCTCGAGCAAGGAAAGCTGGTCCGGCTGTGAAACTGGAAAATGCCTTTAAACAAGTTACCAAGCGCCGCTCGGGCTGAAATCGGACACGCCGACGAAACAAGCCGAGTAGTATGCATACACCAAGGAAAAAATCATCAAGTCGCGCTTCTCCGATCGCAACTTGAAACGTACACGCTCGAGCTGCGTAGTTGGTTCTATTGTAGCCCATATAATAAAAAGACAGGGTAAGCAAGCCGCCTTGATCGCAAAATCGATTTGCCGTCAGTATATCTCTCATGTTGCTTGGCGTGACGGTCTGGCGTGGTCGCTGCGAAGACGTGTAGTACTGGTAGCATTTTGGGGCGGTTTCACATCGCACGTGGGAGACAGGGGCGTTATTACGAGGTAACTGGTTTTTAGTTATCTTCAGAGTTGTTTACTTTGATGGGGGCAAGGGTCCGAGCCAGTCAATGTCTAGCTCGGGTACGTCCGGTACCCACGCCGGGTGTATCCACTGCTGGAGTTGCTGCCGGGTGACGTTGGGACTATACTGGCGACACGGCGATGCCATGCCGACATCGTACCCGCTCGGACCGGACGACGGGTACGGACTCCGAAAGCAGCCCCCCGTCGAGGCCCCCCAGCACGCATGGCACTTGCGACCTTTCGAGGCGTCCACCGTACACTGGCGGCAAAATGTCTATCATTCGTGTGAGACACATGCGTGATCATCATCGCATCATCGCATACGTGGCAGCACGACGTGCATTGAAAGAGCCGGCGTTTCAACGAAAAAGAGCTCTGGAAGCGCTTGTGGCAGCGACCGCACTCGCTTTGGTTGTCGCCGTACATCTACATTACATCCCAAGTCAAATCCAAAACTCCTAAAGTCAAACATCCACATACCGAAAAGTCGCCGCCCATCGACATTTTTGCGCGGCGGAGGTTGGCCACGGCAGCGTGCAGCGACTGGAGGCGTGCGACGCGCTTGAGCATGACGCGCTTTGTCAGCCATTGCGGTCCACGTCCACGCAGGTCCATGCTGAGGAAGAGCTGGACGCGGCACTGGCCCGGCGTGCCCGTTTCCGACACAATGAGACTATCAAACTCAATGTCAACTTGGAACGTGGTCGTGAGACTAGGACGTACCCCGAATCCGTGATGGACGCACGCACGACGTTGAGCGTCGCTTCATTGTCGGCGCACGCTGCGAACGGCACCGAATGCTGCGAAATGACGTAGGCGCGACGGCCAGTCGGCAAGATAATATCGTCGTGGGCTTCCAAGAGGCATGCATCGCGATTCCGCATCGGCGACGGACACGCGAGGGCGAGCCAGCGCACGAAAATGCGCTCGTCGGCGGCGACAGCATGCAAAATGTTGCTGTCTAATATGTCTTCGTACATGTGCTGGCCAATGTTGGCGCGCATCTCCTCGGTCGTGACGAGCGAGACAAACCCTTTGATCTCGTCCATGGACGCGTCGACGACCGCCGCGGCTTGGTACGTGCTGCCGCCTTGATCGTGAAAAATGTGCAAGCCTGGTGTTGCTTTCACACACACCCACGGTTCGTCGCGGCTGCGGCGCAAAAGGCGGTCGAGATTCTCGTGGGCCACATCTCGGAGCGTGCGAGGATCGTCGTCGTCGCCGAGGAGTGTCGTCGAGTGCAGTTTGTGCATGCGTGCCATCAGTTTCAAAAGGAATAATGACACCTCTTAATTCCGTGCGAAAGACACGATAGATATGTACGCAGGGACGTACGGAATGGTTCAAGCGTTGCGCCAGCCGGTCTGACGCCACGCGCCGTCAGCCGGTCGTGAACATTAAGATTCGTTGATCGTTCCAAGTTGCACTGGTTCGTCCTGTGCGCAATGCAGCTACGGATCCCGCTTTCCACACGATTGATGAGAGCAATCGAGGCTGCTATCGCTGTAGTATAGTGTACCATCTCAAGGCGCGAGCACCGGAGCGACGAACGCCGACGCAGCTTGAAAGTCCACTGGGACGGTGTTGGTATCGTACGCTGCTAGTAGGTAGTACTAGCATCGATGCAAGCCGAGCTGCAGCCGAAAAAGCTGTGTGCGAGGGCGAGAGGCTCGGATCTATGGCTTCAAGGACCCGCGCAGTGACTCAAAAACGCGCCACTTGGGTGTCCGCCGCACCCGGGTGCGCCGTTGATTGCGATCCAAGAAGGGCCGAGGCTCCTCGTCACAGAGCGTGATGAGCGATTTGTGCGTAGTCGATGATCATTATCATTGGTCGAAGGCAGTAGTACACATCGCGTCACTGGAATACTCCACGACCAAGTGCGACACGAGGGTGGACATTGCGCCAGGTGCGATGAGACTTGTTAATACAACCTCGGCTCGTGTTCAAGAACTGTCGAGTCCGACAGTACGTGGCGCGGTGTTCTAATCGATTCTAGTATAGTTGAGGTCGAGACTCGGAGCTGCTCGGTCGAAGCCTTGATGCTCCGCCTTTTCCTGCCCCCACGACCTCTCGACGAACAACCGAACCAAACGAACGAGCCAACGAACGCGGGCACAACGCACTGAGTTTTTTTGGTCCGGAGTATAGCAGAGAGCGACACTGCAATGCAGCTGCGCATATGCGGCGCGAACGATGCGTTCGTACCGCCGCGTCGACACGCTGGAGAAATCTGGCTTCGAGTCCGACCAACGTTTTATTTTCTATCTTTTAATTGAATTAGCGGAACGAGACGACAATAGGGACAATATTACAAGGAAGGCGATATCGACTGTACTATACGATAAGGCGAAGCACGTGGGCTGAGTCGACCTCGAGCATCGGCAGGAGCGCGCTGCTGCCTTGGTGCGGCGAGGCCAGCTCACCAGGTGCGAGCCAATCAAACTGCAGCGCTTCGAGCGCGACATCAGGCGTTGAGAGCTCGCCGACGCGCGGCTTGTCCAGCAGCTGCAAGAGCTTTGACGACGACGTGCACGGGTGGTACGCGGGCATGTGCCCGGTCGTATTCGCACCCACGATGCTGTCGTCGTCGTCGTCGTCCAGGAAATCGTCAAACAAGCAGTGTTTCGCATACGCCGCATCGGCGCTGCGGCATGGACTCCGTAGCGAGCTCTCGACCGTGGTGCCCTTACACGCGTAGCAGACGCGGCCCTTGGTCTGCAACGGCGTCGCGCACTTGCTGCAAAAGACCTGCCACCATCTCAAGACGTGGCACAATATGGTCGTCAGGAGATTACCTCGCCGCAGAGCTGACAGTGGTGCTTTCGTCGCCACTTGGGAAATGTATGAAATGTTTTGCCACAGCCGCCACAGTGCGACCGCGCGTCCACACGTACCATGGGCTAGCATACCAGCCAACGGCAACGTCAAACCGGAGTGTAGGTCTTTCAAACGTACAATGTAGGTCCCATCCAAGGTCTCGCCGAGGCGGAGATCCTGGAGCGACGCGTGCAGCGACTGGAGCCGCGCGACGCGCTGCCGCACGACAACCTTGTGCAGCCAGGAAGGTACGCGACCTTTCAGGTCCATTTGCGTGTGCGTGCGGACATTGAGGATGCCAGGCGAGTCCGTTTCCATGATGATGGTGCTAATACGGATGTGATGAGTCTCATCGCAGACGAAAAAAACTTACCCCGAGTTGTAGATGGAGCCACGAACGAGGTTGTAGGCGCTCTTGAGGTCTGGACAGCTCGATAACCGGATCGAGTGCTGCGAGATCAAGAACGCACGTTTTCCATTGCCGAGGAGCGCTTCGTAGTGCACTTCCAGGACGCAGAAATCGCGGCGGCGCAGTGGCGGCGGGCACTCGGTGGCCATCCAGCGCACAAACATGCGCTGCTGCGGCGTCGGCGTCGGAATCTCGTGCAAAATGGCCATGTCCAGCACCTCGTAGGCGTATTTGTGGACCGCGTTGGTCATTTGTTCGCTCGTGACGTTGCACAAAAGGTGCTTCAGCTCCCGAAACGTGGCTTGGACCGTCGTTGCTGCGCGGAACGGGATGATGTTGGGCTCGGACGGCGGCGCCAGCCCTTGGTAGAGGTGCATGCTCCGCGATGTCTTGACGCACGGGAATGCCTGTGCATCCAAGAAGGACTCGGACAGCGTCACGAGGAGCTTGGCCATGTTGTGTTGCCCAAGGCCTTCAAGGTACCGCTGCTCGATGGCCGAGAGCGGGTCGCTCCGGAAAAAGTCGGGTGGCAACGGAAAGTCCTCGAGGTTGTCGTGCCGCGATGGAAGCTCGCCCATGCTCGACGCGCGTACTGTAGAAGTGCACGACGCCGAGTGCTGGCGCATTGGCAGAGACAGGCAGTGCGGACGCACTGGCCACTCGAGTCGCTACTTGGGAGGAAGATGTCGGCGTGGTGCCAGCTGGCAAACCGCTGCCATGTGCACCATTGGTAATCCAAAGTGTAGTCGATCCTACCTTGGAGTGCGGAGACGATTAGTGGCTCTGAGCTCTGGCTGCTATCAGTGGCGACAGCACACATCCCTGTCCATACTACCGGTCCCTTTACGACGGCTGCACAGAAAAGCCCGCGAGACACCAACCCGAGACAAAAGCTACTCGAGACGCCTGGATCAAAAAAGAAGCCAACGTCGCAGACCCAAAAACTCGACCGTCCGATCCGACTCATGGATCCGGCTGTACCGATGCATAAACACGCTGCGCCATTTCTTTTCTGCGGCAAGACCGAGGTAGCCATGCGATGCCTACTGCCTACTGACCACTCGTTTCCGTAGGCTCCTTTGTGCTATTTTAACAACGATCCAAAGTGATGACGCGCCCCACACATAGAAAGCATTTCGCAACGTCAATAGAAAAAACATCCCGCAATGTCTTCGCTTGCCAGCGGGCACGGTTCATACTGCGAGAAGGAGCGCTCGACCCCGTCCTCGCAACACAACCGTACCGGTACCGGTAGTTTCGCGATCCTATATCACCTCGTCCAAGGTGGTGACTTCGCGACAGGCTCATCACACAGAGTGGCCACTGCAGCGAGGCGCACCGAAGATGAATCGAGGGCACCGCCACATGTTGCCATTAGGGTGACCAAGAAGCAAGACGTGGAACATCCGTTTTCCTCATGGCCCAACAAAATGGAGTTTCTGCGGCTGTCGGACGGTCCAGGACGGCCTGTTGCCGCGGTTGAAGCTCGTGGTCGGCATGGAGGCTTGCAGACGAGCGAATCCGAGTGCTTGCACCGCAGTCGTGCCCTCATGTTTTGCTCGATGCATTCCTTCGTGACGACGTACCAAGTGCGTTCGTTTGTCGGGCTTTAAACACCCGATCGAGCAGCTGCCAGTATGGATCTCGTCATCATCGGTCGTGTCGTACAAGTCAAAGACTCGGCTGGTACTATAATCGTAATAGCCTGTGCAACCAAGTCGGTCGTGCTTGAAGACACTCTTGGCATCATGGACGACGACGTTTTTGCTTTGGATTTACGACACTTAAGAAATACAATACAGGAAACAACTACCAGACCTTGTACGAGCGGTCGCGGCGCGACTCGGATCGGTGGCCAAAGCTGCGCTCGAGCGCCGCCTGCTGCAGCTGCGCCGAAATGTCGATTGTCGCCGTCGGGTCGTAGCAGTCCCAGTCGCCCGCGAGCAGCTTGGAGACAGGGTCGTCGCAGAGGTCTTGAAGCGTCGATGTCGTCTTCTCCGAGTGCATGTCGCGAATGGGCACGTCGCCACCTGAGGAAAGCCGCAGCGACTGCCACGCAGCCAAGAGCGGATCGTCTGTCTCGATCGGGCGTGAATGGCTCTGCATACACGACGGCGAGTACTGCGGACGGCGTGCGACGTGGTCGTGGGCGGGGCTCACGAGGCCGCCACCGTGGGGGCTACAGCCAAAGACGGGGCTCTGCGCATCCGAGAACCGGTCGCAAATCGCATTCGAGCAATTGACGCAGACGCGCTGGGTGGACGCATGCATCGACTTCCACGTGCCCGTGCACTTGGAGCAAAAGACCTATTGCATATGTCAGTGCCTCTGTCTTTGGCTCCCAAGGCACAACCTCGCCGCACGTCGAGCAGTGGTGCTTGTGGCGAAACGCGTGGAAGCGCTTGGAGCAGTAGTTGCAATGGCTGCGCTCGCTCGATGGCACGTGGACCTAGACCTTGTTCTGAGCGAAAATTCTAGCGTGGGGGCTATCAAGTATGAAGTACGTACTACGCCTGGGGTCCCATGGTGTCGGTGGCGCGGTGAAAAGTGCATCGTCGCCGAGAGACTCCGTTCCTTCTTTGTGCGTTGCGTGAGAATTGTCGACTGGAGGTCCACGAGGTGGCCCACGCGGCGCTTCATGAGCTTCTTGTATACAAACGACGGCAAGTTGCCCTTCAAATCCATCTCGACATGGCTGTGGGCATGCAGTACGCCGGCTTCGTTGGACTCGGCAAAGAGCATGCTACGGGCCAATCAGACGCTCGGATCCAGGCCATCTGTCGAGGGATACCCAGAGTTGAAAATGGCCCCACGCACGAGCTGGAATGCGCCCTTGAGGTCGGGACAGCACGGTAACCGCACCGAGTGCTGCGCGATGACCCACGCGCGCTGCCCGGACGCGAGTTGGACTTGGTCTTGCACCTGGTGTGTTTCGTGAGACGACGATGATGTGCGATGGGAGGATGCTCGTACTTCGAGGACGCAAAAGTCGCGGTTCTGGAGCGGCGTCGGGCACGCAATGGCCATCCAGCGCACCAGCACATGGCGGTGCGGCGCTTCGCTCGTCGGCGACTGCAGGTGGTAGAGCACCTTCATGTCCAACACATCGTCGGCGCGCACCCGCAGCGACTTGGCCATCGCCTCGGTCGAGATGTTGGCGACGACGTCGCAGACCTCGTCGAGACTTGCCGCCATCGTGGTCGACGACCGGAACGGCACGATCTGCGGCTCGCTCGGGCGCGGCTTGCCCTGGAAGAGGTGAGCGCCGTGGACATCGCCGAGCGAGCTCCACGCCGTCGCGTCGTGGCACTGAAGCGCATTGAGCGTCGCCTCGAGCGTGTGCCGGGCGAGCGACTCGAGGTACTCGAGGTCCGCGGCCATGAGTGGAAGGCAGTCGAAGAAGCCGTACGGCAGTAGATAATCGCCAGGCTGGTGGCGCGCGTCGGTCGGCATGCTTGTGCTTGTTGTTATGTTGGACGATTCTTCAAGAATGAAAAGGATCCCATGCGCGTGCGCGGGCCATTACACCCTGTTGGACGTGAGGCGTGCAACCTAGGTTATGCGAGATTGCCTTTCACTGCCGTAGAAAGGCCATCTTGCCGTTTCGAATCTAATCGGCCGGTATGCATCTGTGGCCTTGGACCAACGGGTGGCCACGGCGAAGCGGCCAGCTAGAAGACCGTCGACAGTACATGGCGCGGTGCCACTAGAACTATGATCCGTCGTTGCGTTCAATATACCTAGCATCAACATACGACTTGCCTATGCAGCCACGCCTTCAAGGTCGCACGCAGCCATCGGTGGCACAGACATGGCGTTCTGTCCAGTGCAGTGTGTTAGTGAGACTGGTTGTCGTGGCTGTTGCTATAAATACGCTCTGTTGCATATCGATGACGCTACGAGCACTCTCGTTGCCGGCAACTACCGTCCACACGGAGACCAGTGCTTTGCAATACGTCGCTATACTACTGTACTCGGGTCGCCCGAACACTGACCATAGTGTGCTTCTTGCGTCGTCGTCAGACTCATCGCCACAAGTCACAGGCGCATCAACTCTGTCAACTCCACACACGGTGCCAAAAGCCTACGTATCGATGAGGACACTAGGCCGGTCGCGGAATCATCAGCGAACGATTCGATTGCCTCGTCGAGGTGGTTTCTGGTCCTATATGATGTGACTATAAGGCGTCGCACTGGAACAACAACGACGTGTTGTGCATTGCAGACGACTCATCCATCCCTGCGATCGACGCACGCCAAAAGAGCCAGCGGCCACCCAAGTCAAATCGCTAGTACGTCTTAACCGTAGGCGTTTGTATCCGTACGCTAAGGATACTAAGGACAACAGAGTATAACCCACATGATGAATTTACAACGCAGCGCTACTCGCGTCGACGCGTGCGGACGCATTCGATTTGACGCGTTCTGGCAGCAGCACCGTTCGCAGAACTTTTCCCAGCGAACCGCTCCATTCGCCTTCCGAACGGCAAGGCACGAGGCGGGGCATCGAATCCTCCCGCTGCCTGCTGATGCCGGCATCTGTATCTGATGAGATCCACCGCTCAACGTCATTTTTCAGAGGTATCACTGGAGATCAGACGAGAATCTACCCAGCAGTGCACGTCCAACAGCTGATCGTCCAGAATCTCTCTTGAAATCTGCCAGATCCGCCATTTTCATCGGTCCCCCAGGTCCGTCGTGCGGTCCTAGTTGTTCTGGTCCTAGGGTCCGTGAAACAATGCTTCATGATTGCCGAAGCCCAAGTGGTCTAAACTTTACTAGCGAATCGTCAGCCGGGATTTGGTTGGCATAGCTTCTTGGCAACTCAAGCTTGTGGCGATCTTGCGCCACGTTAAACGCAACCCTCGAAGCATTTAACCCATCGGTTAAAGCTCGGAGCCAGAACGGCAACTTCAAGCGTCCGGATACGAAGCCGCACTTTCCAACCCAATGGCGGTCGTCTACGAAGTCGTCGTCACGTGCGAGCCCGCGGTCGCGGACCGCTTGGCCGAGTACATGACGGAGCGCCACTTGCCGCAGATCCTCGCGACGGGCTGCTTTGCGTTCATCGAGTTTGAGCAGAGCACACTGCACAGCTACCGCACGCGGTACCTCGCCGACTCGCAGCTCGACCTGGACCGGTACTTTGCCGAGCACACGGCGACGCTGCGCGACGACTTTGCCAAGCATTTTCCGTCCGGCATCACGTCCGTCGAGCGCGTCAACTGGAACGTTCTGCGCACGTACCGCCGCGAGGTCGAGTCCGCGTCGTCCACGTGACGTTACCGGTATGCACACCTTCCATGCGATGATAGCCTAGTGCACCTTGGGGTTGGCCTTCGCCAAGGCAAGTAATGCATCGTGGTATTGTCTCGCACTTGAGAGTTCCATCACTTGCACTGAACCATCCAGTTCTTATTCCTTGCTACGTCCCGAGATCTCCATCATGGCTTACATGGTCAACCAGAGGTGAAACCCTATCTCTTGCTGGATGCTGTTCTGCATCTCTACCAACTCTCTCAGCCTGGCTCTTAGCCAAGGGATCTTAACCTGCGCTGCTGATACAAGCCAGCCCTCAGAAGAGTGGAGCGTCTTGCGCAGGAATTGCACATGCATCAGCTTGCGAAACTAATGATGTGTTCGCCTCGTGGTAATACATCCCACGTCGTACGGCTTACAGAGTAACGTTAACAAAAATACGAGGACGTCGGTGCCTACTTGAGGCCCGTGCCGTAGTTGCCGGCCTTGCCCATCGAAGTGATGACGCCGCCTTGGCCGTTGACCCAGTCGTACGAGCCAGTCCATAGCATCGCGCCCTTGTAGTTGGCGCCGGCCGACGCCGCGGCCACGAGCTGCTTGGGCGACGGCGCGTCACCGTATTCGCCGCAGATGCCCGACCCCGCGCCCTTGCCGACGCACTGGCCAATGAGCAGCTTGTCCTTTCCGATCGCTGTCGCCCACGTCGTGGGCACAGCCGCAAGCCATCCGTCCATCGTCGCCTACACATTGTTTGAGACGCGAGGTTGAGAGGGAGATCGGCTGCGTACGCTCAAGGCATTGTACATCATGTTGTTGACTTCATCGACGTACTGGAGGATCTTGGGCTCAAAGCACCGGCTGTAGTCACCGCCTGCGTCATTACATGTCTTGTCGAACGCGGCCGGGAGCTCGTCCCACGTAACGATGTACTTGGGCTCACCGCTCTTCAGCGGGAGCCCGTCGAGCGCCTTGCGCAATGCACTGAGATACCCAATGACATGTGGGCCGGCGTTCGTCTTCCAGTCACCTTTGGCGCCCAAGTTGCCGCTCTCGTCGTCGATGTCGACGCCATCAAACCCAAACCTAGAAAGAGTATGAGCGGTTGATCAATAGTGTCTTGTAGACTGTAGACAAACTTTTGCACGAGGGACGTGGCCGTGCTGGCAAACTTGGCGTAGGCGGCGGGGGTGTTGATGGTGAGAAAGTTCGCACGGACGCTGGCGCCGCCAATACTCGCATACTGCTTGATGCACTTGCTACATAAACGCGAGGATATACATCGATCGGGACTGTGGATCCAGAGGTCGTACTTTTTCATGGCGGCGATGCACGCCTTGAGCGTCGCGTCGTTGCCCTGGAACGTCTGGTCGACCGACCCGTCCGTGCCGATGGTCGCAAAGCCCCAGTACACGTGGGTCACGTACTGCGCAGCTTCGCTCTTGACAAACTACAAGTGGTCGTCGTTGGCATGACTAGCATTGCAATACAAGTAGCTTCGTACATCGAGGCAGCCGTCGGTCTGCGACTCCCAAAAGATAGCAAACGACTTGCCGTTCTTCGTGCCTGGACACGTCTTGCACGTCTTGCCGTCGAGGTAGCTGCCGCGCGACTTGCACGTGGAGGGCACGGTCGTGTTGCCACTGACAACGGTGCCATCGACGACCGCATTATTTGACGACGACGAGCTGCCCGAGCCAAAGACGCCGGTCTTGGTGACGTATGTGATGCCGACGCTGGCGCCGGCGACAACCGTGACTAGGGCACTGTGTTAGCGAGCGGTAGCCGGCTCGGCGGACGTACTTAGGATGGGCAGCGGCCACCAGTGGCAGCCAGACGACGCGGCCTTGGCCATGACTTTTCCGAGACTGGTTCTGGCAAAGACGCTGGAAAAAGGCCAATTTTCGCCGCTTCTGATTGGCTACTGCGGCTGGTTACATATCCGGTTTGTGGGAATTGAAGTGTCATGGGCGCGCTGGCTCGCAGCGTGGAGACGACACCACATCTAGAGTCCATGGACCGAGTCGATCGAATGTGCAGAGGAAGCCCGCGACGACGAGCTATCCACGCCGAGCACAACGGCCACGGTGATATCCCGTTATTTATATCCCTATGTAGCAGCGAAATATACACCGAAATACGAGAATATCCATAGGAGCATGCAATATCCGTCGCCCATTCCGACTGTTCCATTCTCTAGCGAAAAAGACTGTGCTGAATTCCTTGGGTACAAGACACGCAGCAGCACCAGTGCACGACGAACCACGCCTTGCTCATTTCACGACGCTCAGTCCGTTGGAAAAGGGCGAACGTCTTTTCCAGTGCGTCCTCGAGCGCGCTTCTGCGGTCAATATTTGAATATGGATATGTCCTCCGCACAGTCCCGCGGCTCTCTGCACCTCGAGTGGTTCCCAGCCGCAGTATGATGGCCCCAATGCACACAATATATTGAAAGGCACTGCATCCCCGCTCTCCTGGCTGCTCGTCTGCTCTACACCGTGCAGCGCCGCGAAATATTCATTGCAATATATACATGTAGGCGCTGATGTACACTGATGTAGGCATGCTACTATGTACACTGATGTAGGCATGCTACATGCACATTCCAGCAGCAATTCGCTTACAAAGTACATGCATCCGGATAGCGTCTCTACGGACCCGTTCGAAGGTGTGTCTTTCGGAATTTTAATATCGCTTTGTTTGTATGTGGGAGGTATCCAGGTAAAATATTTTATGGAGCCGGGTTGCAATGCGAGTAATTTGTCGGCTCTGCCACCTGGCCACAACCAAGCATGAAGGAGCTGCCATCGACCAAGGCCGAGGCCAAGCGCTGGTACATCTCGGAAGACTCGGCCGGCTTCCACTGGTGGCCGCTGCCCGTGGCGCGTACGACGTCTGCCTACTGCATCTACCCATGCCTCACCACCATGTAGTCTTTGCCGTTGGCACACTCCTCTACTCGGGCGCGTTCTCGTACCACGAGGGCTGGCTCGACGAGTTCACGGGCAACCTCACGCGCATCCAGTTCAACGATCCCGATGTCCTTCAGGGCGGCTGCATGGCCATCAATCACAAGATGACGTGGCGCGAGCTCCGCAACAAGGCGTCCAAATGCTCGCGCGGTCAGTTCTATGACCCGCTGCACAACGACTGCTACCAGTGCTCGTCGCCCGTCGCCGAAGACCGCATCTTTGCGTTGCACTGGGACGCCTCGACAGAGTGCCGCAACGTACGCACCGCCATCGTCGGCTTTGAAATCGGCTCATGCGACCGCGTGTAGCTGCTTCTGCAACCGGACGTGCGCTTTGCCACCCACATCATGTGGTCGGCCGCGACGCTGGATCCGGCGACGGGCGCCATCGTCAAGCCGGCGATTCCGGACGCTAGCACGCGCATCTCGCGCTGCATGCTCGAGATGCGGTCGCGCTGCATCCAGCAGATCGCCGTCATCGGCGGCCCGTCGACGTCGTTCGCATCGGTGCTGACGAGTGACGCCAAGATTGACGCCTTTGTCGCGTCCGTCGTCGCCCACGTGACCAAGTCTGCCATCCCCACTCCATGCGAGTCCATGGCCTCATCGTAATGGTGTGGCTAGGTCCAAGTTTGACGGCGTGCACATTGTCGACGTGGGTGGCAACGACAAGAGCAACAGTGGCGATTGGAAGACCAACTACAGCCCGACAGCGGTCAAGTACATGGCCGCGCTCCGCAAGGCGCTGGACGCAGCGGCCGTTGACGCGCCGCGATTGACCCTGTCCTGGGAAGAGCTGGCGTCCGCCTTTGATACGACCTCGGTACCCACTTGTTGCATGACCCAGCCTGTCTCTATAGCACGTGGATAGAAAACGTACAATGGCTGCAAATCGGCCAGCGACGCGTCGGGTACCTATCGTTGCTTCAACCCCGACATTGCAGGAAGCGTCGACTTCGTGAGCCTCGAGCTCTTTGGCCGCCACGCGGTGCGTTCAATCCGTCGACGGTGTGCACTCACATTGTCTCGCGGGCTACGAATAGTCGGTGTCGCTACCGTCCTTGATGCTGGCCAAGCCGTGGGCGGGTGCGTTGCCGTCCAACAAGATTGTCTTCAACACGTGCACGGCGCCGTCGCCCCTCTGCCGCGGCAGCGTCAACGGCAAGGACGAGCTCGCGATCGCGGCCAAGACGGGCTCGGACGCGTTCAAGGGCGTGAGCATTGCCAGTGCGACGGCCGATATCGAGGCCCACCGTGGCGCGTCCATCTCGGCCATGGGCCCGCTCGGTGCCTACGGTGTGCTCATGCCGCAGCGCGCGCCGCAGCAGCCGTCCGCCGCCAGATAACTACATTCAACAACACTTCTGGAGGGTTGCATTCTTTTTGGCCGTCATGCAGCAACGAGTTGGCCTACTAATAGTACTGCTGCGACGACCATCCGTGCTCTGGCCCCTGCTCTGGCCCTGTGCACGAGGCGTGGTCGGTAATCTTGGCTGAAGTTGCCCTTTTAGCAGGGTCGACGCTGATTGGCCACTGTTTGTCCAATCACGCCGAGGTCGCTCAGTTTGGTGGCCGCAATGGACGCGGACCTCGCCGTCGAGCATGTCTTTGGCAACTTCCACGACTACTATGAATTCAACCCCGAGGCAGAGCGGCTCCGGTTCCTCTCGCCGAGCGTCCGCGCTGGCCTTCGCAGCCTTCTGCGCGGGCGGCGCGCCTACTACCTCGACATTGGCTGCAACGAAGGTATGACTCGTTGGCGGCGTCGACCATGGACGAGCATGCTTCGCTGTAGGCAAGCTCACGCAGGCCGTGCACAAAGCGCTTGTGAGCGGCGCGCTGCCGGTTGCAACGACAACGACGACAACGTTCTCGGTCGACAGCATTAGCGAGCTCAACGAAGCGATCCAAAAGCATCGAATGGCCCCCCAGTACGTGACGATCGAAGACGGCGGGTCGGGCCATCGCAAGCACTTCGTCTTGCACGTCTTTATCGCCAACGTCTTCTTTGGGGCCGGCGACGGCGTCTCGAAAAAGGTCGCCAAGGCCAAAGCCGCCGCCGAGGCGCTCGCGCGGCTGGCCGCGATCGCAGCACCGTCCGACGCCGCGCCGACCAATATCGTGCCGGCCATGGCCGATGACCTTGCCAAGGTGCCTCTCGACTTGCGCACGCTTGGCATTGACGTCGATGCGGAGCTCATCGGTCGTGCGAATACGCTTGTGTCGCCGTCCGACCCCGCGCTGACGTTTCAAGTTGCCGACATAATGGAGGGCGGACGGCTCGCGGCGCTCTGCGACGCCTTCCTTTCCGAGACGCCCGACAAGTCGTTTGATCTCATCTCGTGCTTTAGCATTACCATGTGGATCCACCTCAATCATGGCGACGCGGGCTTGCTCAACTTTCTCGACCTCGTCGCGGCTAAGACGACGCACCTCATCCTCGAGCCGCAGCCGTACAAGTGCTACAAGACTGCGACGCGCCGGCTCCAGCGGCTCAAGCACACGATTCCTGCGTCCTTCAAGGCGCTTCAGATCACGCACAACGTCGTCGACGTCATTGACGCGCACTTGAGCGACCTCTTCCCGTTCAAGACGCCGCTGGGCAAGACCAACTGGTCCCGCCCCGTGATGCTCTACAGCAAAGTGCCACTGCCAGAGACGACCAGTGCCTAATCTGTTAACGACAACGACAGTCGTGTCGAGATAGTACATCTCTGTCCGTCGGCTGTTCCGTTCCATGTCCCACTGGCGGCGCACGAGGCCGACAGCCACAACAACTCGACCGGGTGGTCGCATTCCACCAGGACCCTCTTCGTGCCCGTGTACTTGGTACCATGCACTAGTATGGCCGATTGCGATACCAGCGCAATAGCGCCTCGCGACATGGTCCTTCCATACTATCGCAAGGCTCTGTCTTTTTCATGTTATCCGCAGCACATCGAGAGGAGCAATCGGTTCACCACGGCAAATTGCTGCCGTCAATGTCGTAAAAGGAGGCTTTGTCGCCCTTGCGCACCTTGCCGAGGATCGCTGCGAGCGCGCGCGCGCTTTCCTCGGCCGACAGGTCGCCTTTGTGGCCCGTAAAGTCCGTCTTGACGTAGCCGGGGTGCAGGAGCACAGTCGAGATGCCACGCGGCTCCATGTCGACAGCGAGCGTCTTGGCGATGCCGTTGAGGGCCGTCTTGGACGCGCGGTACGCGTGGTATCCACCTTGCGTGTTGAGCTGAATACTGGCAATCTTGGCCGAAAGGAAAGCGGCGACCGCGAAATCGTTTTGCTTGGCCGCAAGCTTGAGGTTGGGCATGAACGCCTTGGTGACTAGGAACGGGCCCACGGTGTTGACTTCCAACTGGCGCAAAAAGTCGGCCTTCGTCGTCTTCGTGAGCGAGCTCTTGACGATGATGCCGGCATTGTTGATGAGCATGTCGATTGGGGCGTCGGCGCCGATCGCTGTGGCGGCGGCTGCTACCGACGCTTCGTCGGTGACGTCAAGGGCCACAATGCCTTCCGGTCCGAGGCTTCGAAGCTAGTGCGTGCATCCATTAGATCTTGCTGGACACGGCAGGTAGCGCACCTCGGTCGCCGAAGACGGGTTGCGCACGCCGGCCACGACGTTCCAGCCCAGAGCCTTGTAGTGTTTCGCCAGCTCGAGGCCAATTCCTCGGTTCGCACCCGTGATGAGCACACGCTTTGCCATGGCTTGTCTTGCAGAGAAAACTTAGTTGTGCCGTTGCAAGAAGCTTAGAGCCCTGGAAATGGAACTCACTGGCGTTCACTGGCGCCAGACAGAGAGACGCAGCATCCCAAAACGTCAACCTTACCGGAGACGCCCAAGATGGAGCTGGTTGAATTCGGCATTTCGACGCTTTAAAATCGGCACATCACGATCGTGGCGGGCCGTGAGAGGTTCTAGATTTCTCGGCTGCAAGATGCGCAAGGTCAGTGGCCTGCGCCAGGACAGCGGTCGCCTTCAAATCACAGGCGCTCGCCAGCGCAGCAGCGAGCAGACAAAGCTGCTCGCCGCCGTGGGTCGTGACCTCTTCCGGTCCGGCTTGCGCGTCGATGGCGCCGGCACCAAAGCGTCGCACGCCGAGCCCCGGCACCCAGCGATCTCGCCCAACTTGGACACGATTCCGGAAGGCGAACGCGTCGAGCCGAGTCGCGCGCAGCAGGCGCAAGTGATCGTCGTCCTCGGCGGGCCATTGGGCCGCGCCAACCTGCCGGGGCCGTGGCTCAGCCAGCGCATCGAGACAGCGCTGCCTCTGTACCAGTCGATCGTCCAGCAGCAAGGCTCGACGTGCTATGTCGTGCCGTTTGGCGGCGACGGCAGCGAAGAGGGCGTTTTGGAGTGCGAAGTCGCCCGCAACCACTTGGTGCAACGCGGCGTCTCGCCCCACCACGTGCTCTTGGACTGCAACGCGGTAAATAGTCCTTCCTATACCGATCCATGTTCTCATGCGAGACACCGCGACGTAGGCCAACACGATCGAGAACATATTGACGCTGCTGCCGCTCTTGCGGCACTTGCGCGTCGGTATCGTGCGCGTTGTCACGTCGAGCTTCCACATGCCACGTATGCAGCTCTACTTTGACAGCATCTTGCACCGATGTCGCGATGCGACGTTCGAGATCTACTACCACCCGACGCGTCGCGATCATCTCACGCTCCTCCAGCAGCGCGACCTCGAGGCCAAAGAGCTCTCGCTCATGACCAGCACGCGCCGCCAACTCGACGAGGCCATGCAGAGCGTCCAAGCGCAGACGGCGCCGGCGCAGCAGTACCTGCCCTATCTGCACCAAGCGACCCGCCCGCCGCCCTCGGCCAGCACGTACGACGAGCGCATCAAGGCGCCCGCACCGCCGACGTCCTTCTACGGCTTTAACCATCATTAATCCGACAGATATACAACGGTTGCAGTAGTCCATCTAATGTCCTTCCTCCTGCGCGCATATCCCTCGCCTCCTAGCCGACAGCATGTCCCGTCGTCGCGCTGCCAGCGAGTTGCAGGTCGGTCCGTCGTTGTCTGGTGCCGTTGCCAAATCTGGAAGCCAAAGATTTCTGAAACGGACCGTGGGTGTCCAGACGTGTGACCAGATTAGATTGAAAAATCGAGTATGTCGCGTCTGGGCCGGTACGAAAAGTCGAGCGACGCCGACGGGATCGAGAAGCTCACCGCCAAGCTCACGGCCGATCTCCGCAACCACATTCGGTTTCTGGTGCGACTAAGGGCACCACAGTATCGACTAACTAAACCCGCGTTTTCTCTACTAGGGCGACTATCCCATTCTCTCGACCGAGTGGAAGGAAATGGCCCGCAACATGACGCGCTTTGGCGAGATCTCGGAGATGGTACGTCCGCGAGCAGCATGATCCTCCTCCACCTCATCCTCATCATCATGCGCAGGAGCGTCAGCTGCCCAAGCAGGAGAACGCGACCTTGTGGGAGTGCGAAGAGCTCGCGTTGCGGTATCTCCTCCATGCGTTAGTACGACGACCACGAGCTCCTGCGGCGTAGGTATATCCTCGAGGACGGCAAGCTCAACCTCTGCCTCCGCCTCCTCGTCGAGTACAAGGAGTACGAGCGCAACACGCTCGGCCGCGACTTCGACGTACGCACGTCGCTTCAAGATCCATCTTCTTAGCGTCCTTGTCGCATTAGGCCGAAGCGAAGGACCTCTTGCTCAAGTTTGAGCGCGGCCTTGGCGTCATGCTCAAGAACGCCTGGCTCCACGTCGAGGCGCTGCAGGTACCAACGTCCTCATCTGCATGGCGGCGGTGCATCACATGGTGGCTGCAGACGACGGACCTCCCGCTGCTGGTCGAGTACATTGCGTCGGTCCTCACCTTTTGCCACGAAGAGCCCGAGGTAGCATGGGACTACATCGCTCTGCTTCTAAACCGCGTGCATAGTTTTATAAGACCAAGGACCTCGAAGACTGCCAAGAGGTCATCGTGCTCTACTACCTCCATGGCCTCATGAAGCGGCTCGATGACATTGGCGAGTCGCGGTACGCATCTCGCATAGCATGGATGGATCGTCATCCTGACTAGCATCATGCCGCTGCTCCAAGAACGCCAAGTGTTTGAGCTCGTGCTCTGGCACCTCCAGCACAACCACACGTCCTTCTCGGTTCTACTTCCTCTGTCTATTGTAAGAGCCCGCCAACGCATCCTCTCGATAGCCCGACGATGTGCTCGTGACGGCCGAGGTGCTGGCGCAAATCTGCGACTCGGAAGACTTTCAGACGCACCCCGTACGTACACTGAGGTCCTTGTTGGGTCGTTGTGACAATATGGGCATAGACGGCGTATGTGGCGACCGCCGAGGCCCGACAAGACCTGCGCGTGATCCAAGGTCCTCCAGAACCATGCGGTGCGTTGTGCGCTGACCATGGTAGTAGAAGAGGTACTCGACGACTTGGCGACCGACCTCGACATCCGCAAGCGCCTGCGTCCGCTCCTCGACGTCGTCAAGGACCACGGCGCGGGCCGCAAGTAGCTACTACACCCCTCGGTGCTTTCGCAACACAAACGTTGACGCTTTGTATTTGCTTTCGATACAAAAAACAAGCGCCTGGAAATCATCGACCGACGGGTGTTGCTGCGGGTGCCAGAGTCTTGGGCCACACGGTACGGGGTTCGAGACTCTCGACCTGTGTTTTATGGACATTGCCGTCGTCCACAACCTCCTTGGACTCATCCTCCGAACCCTCGTCGCTCTCGGGTACCTCGATTGTCGCGTCGTCGTCATTCGCATCATCCGGCACCGCGGCGTCGATCGCGTCATCCCCCTCTAAAGACTCGCCACGCAACGTCATCGACTCGTCTTCATCGATCGTCGCTGGCACATCACCCGCCGAGACGACGGCACGAACGAGGTCTCCCGAAGGTGGAAACGACCACGTCGGCATCATGTCGGCCATCGGGGGCGCATGCAACTGCACCACGCGCGGGTCTTGCATGAGGTGTTCGAGGTGCCTTCGCTTGGCGGGAATCGCCGCGTCCTCAAACCACGTGGCGTCCAGCACCGTCTCGTTGCTGAGGAGCGAGAGGCTCGCGGCGGCGGCTTTTGTGCGCTTGGCCAAAACAAACTCGACGTTGATGCGCGGCGGGCGGCGTAAGAAGAGCTCGACGTACTGGAGCACAAACACGCCGCAGTCGCAGTTGTTGGTCTGGCGCGGAATCTACTCGATCGTCATAGATAGATATGGACCCACGTGAGAAGGGTACGTACCCACGGCGGGACGACGGCCGGCAGCACTTTCTGGTTGAGAAGCAGCGGACCATGCACGCTGCGATGGGTCGTATCCCACTCGAGTTGCAGATACCTAGTTCGCAATATGAGACACGCATGTCTACACGGTATGTGCGTCGTCGTACTCGCGGAGGAACTTTGTGATGCGCACCGTCCGATGGCACTTGAGCGAATCCAGCATCACGATGCACACGTTGTCGTTGATTCCTTGCTCGATCTCGCGCGGGCGGTGGCACATATTGCAGATCGTCGGTGTGCAAATCGCTTCGGGACGGAAGAGACTGCACTTGCAGACATTGGCTTGGACAAACCGGTTCAAATTGCAGACAATCGCGACGCTCCAGTGCCCTCTACACCCCATACATCATCATCATCATACTCTCGCTTGTGTTCATGGAGGGACGTACGTCTCGTTGATGGGCACGACGAGATACTTGGTCTCGAAGAGGTCGATGGCCTTGGTCCATCGCTTCACGGCCGCGTGCGCCGCGTCTAGTCCATTCTTGCGCGCTTGCTGGAACGTTCCAAAGAGAAACGTGCTGCAGATATACGTGGCGTGCTGCAGTGGCAGCGTGTCGTAGAGATAGCTAATATGTCATCGTTATTTGCGTTGCACGCGTCGAGGCTCGGTGTTCACCTCAGGTAAAACTCCAAGATCGAGTCGTTAAAGAGCCGGCCGTCGTCGAGCCGACCTACGTCGCCGTACGTCAAAACGACTTGACCCTACGTACGCATGTCCTGGATCGATACCGTCCTTGGATACAGGTACAAGTATGTACCTTGGTGCGCCGCTTGAGGTACGTCGCATACGGCTCCTCGTCGACGCAGTGCAAGCTTTGCCGGTTAAAGTACCCGACGCCGCCGCCAGGCAAGCGCACGGTGAAGATGCTATGCTCAGGGTGGATCGCAACGTGGCGAATGGTTCCGACACCAAAGAGCGACCGCACGGCCTTGCCGCGCACCAAGAATGCGCCCGAAGCCGGTGCTAACGGCTTGGCTTCTGCGGCGTCGTCGCCGTCGGATGAGTCGGAGAGCACGATCGGGTTGTCGATGGACGTCGAGGGCAGCGTCGGTGCTGCCACGACATTGGGCCGCGCTCGCTTGGGTGGCGGCGGGCTGCTCGCGGACTGCCGCGTCGCGCGGCCGCTCAAGAGCCTTCCTTGGACCAACGTGCTCTCGTCGTCTTGCTCGATCGAGACGTGCACGATCTATAGAGAAGAGCATGTGCATGATTCGACCTGGGCGATGGCATCCAATGTACGGCTGGAAACGTCGTCTCGGTTCGTAATAGCTCAATGACCTGCATGCTCGCTGGAAGGGCCGGTAGCATGCCGAACGGGCCGTACCTGCTGTGACGTCAATGTGGCAATCCCATTGATGGCCGCAATGTAGTGGCTCCCGAGGGCGATGCTCGGGATCGGGCTCTGAGTCCGGAACGGCCTCCAGTACTCGACGATACGCAGCCGACCACCTATTAGATGGCATCCGCATCATGAGCACTTGATGTAGAGAGAAGATGCATCTACTACCTGCTTCCTCGACCTTCAGGTTGAGTTTCTTGTGCTTGGTTGGGAACGCGAGCTCGCACGCCATGGGGCACGAGACGAACCGGACCATCTAGCGCTGCGTGAGCAGCCGCATCGACGAGGTCATAGCGATGCGTACGACGGGGTATGTGGTGTGCTTGGCGAGCGTGGCCACAATTGTCTTGAAAGGCATCGCCGTGAGCGCCATGTCATCGAGCGAGTGCAGCTGGTAGCGGAACGGCGGAAGGTCGCGCATGCTCGGGCGGCGCTCCGCCGTAAAGCCCACAAGAACAGCGCCGGACCCGTTCTCGGTCGCGGGCATGAGCCGCAGCCCAAAGCTCTTGCTGCGGTCCTCGGCCGTGTACTTGACCTCGACCAAGTCCATTCGCCCACGCCAATTCGAGCAATGCCGAAAATAAGCCTGCGAGAGCGCTGTGCAAACAGCCAAACACCCTGCTAAAATCTGAAATCACGCAACATTCACTTCAACTGCACCGCGATCCATCCCTAGCAGGCCTCTGATGGCGCAGATGCGTGCGCGGGCAGCGCCATCCAGCCGAGATGGAGGCGGCCGTATCGACGTGCGTCGTTATCGGATCCGACATGCGTACCCGTGCGACACGAGAAACTATGGGCGCCACGAACGAATCTCAGATCCAGCCAAGTCCTGAGACTTGGACTCGTTCAGACTCGCTCACATCAACCAAACCGTTGATCAGATATCGTATGCACATTGCGCTGCCGTACGGCTGCAATTGCGTTTCTAGTAGATGGAGCGTACCACGTGCTTCAGGCTCCTTTTGTCCGATCGACGAAGGTTGTGTAAGTCACATTTCACTGTGGGAATGATGCGACCGACAGCTCGGGTTCAACGATCGCATGCGCACGATCGTGCTCTTGCCGTTGCTTTGGCACGGAAAAGACCAAGCAATCAAGTCCGCGTCCCACCTTTCGTGTCTTTACGAGCCCGGATGAGCAGCCAAGTCTCAGCGTCGTCGCTTCCTGCGGCGGCGAGACGGAAGCAGAGTCGTTCTCTTGGCTAGGACCAAGGTCCGAGATAAGAAATCAGCCAACAAGGTTGGAGGAAAAGGCTCGGAACGGATAGCAGCGCGAGTGAGAGATATCACCACTGTGCCCCTGCCGTGAGCTTTTTTGGTGGCATTTGCCGAATGTTACGTATCCGGATGTTACAGGCAGCATGGTTTGCTGCTGTCGCAATAATTTCACACAAGATCTCACCGCCTCCGACGACGATGCTAGACGACCGCCGCAGCTGCCTCGATACCGCCCGGCCTGGCCGCTTCCACGAGGTCCCCGGCGGCTTCCAGACGCGCTACCAGCCCTCGCGCGACTACCTTCGCGCCTCCGTACGCCTCTCGCATGCTCCTCGCGAGGCCACATTGTCGCGTGCTAGGTCTCGTCGCTCTCGCTAACGGACGTCACCGCGTCGCGCAGCCACGACGCGACGCTGAGCCTCGATGCACGGCGACCAGTGCGATCCAAGGTACCTCGCGGTACGTGGCCGACGCTATGGCACAAGGTGTGCCATGCCTTGCGCTTGCCCGAGAAGCCCCACCGGCGAGCGACGACCGCCTCGTAATGTATGCTGTACTACCTATTAACAAGACCACACTTCCTTTCCTACACGCCCGACGCAGGCCGGCTAGACGACCGGCAGTGCATGCGACGCCGTTGGTGCGGCGCGCGACGAGAAGGCGCTGGCCGCAATGTCGCTGAGGACCCGCCGAAGGAACGCCGGGTCTTGCTCGTAGCAAGCGGTCTTGAGCACGAAACCAAAGAGGCGCTAGCATATCATCATTGATCCCTCGCTCGGCCACAAATGAAAGAGGTATCACCGTGGAGCCTGCGTTGGCTGCCATCGCGTCGGCATAGAGCCGCGTGAAGCGACCAAAGTCCTTGCGTGCCGCGCGGAGAAGCTCGAGTGCGATCGCTTCCGACATCTTGATGCGCTTGTCTTGCATGACCGCGTACACTATGAGGTGGTTCCATGAGGGGCCTCTGCTTGCCACAGCCAAAACCTACCTGCAAACGCCGAGGTCGGGTCGTGCGTCGCATTGGCGAGCAGGATCATGTGGCGCCACACGCGAAGTGTCGTCGGGATGCGCATCGACGTGAGCAGATCAATGTACGTCGCAAGAAGAGGCCGCGCGTGCAAGGCCGCGAGCGGGTGCTTGGCCAGACCGGCGGCGACGGTCGCGAGGTCATCGGCGCGGGGCTTGATGGCCATGGCCTTGGCAAACGTGAGGAGTGCGAGGACCTAAGATCATCTCGCCACGCCTCGTCCTACGAGGTGGTAGTACCTCGTCGATATGACCGTGGTTGGCGAGGTTAAGGAGCAGCGGGTGCAACGAGCTGCGCACGTGCATGTTGTCGTCGCCCGACGACGCAAAGAGCGATGTGTACAAGGCGACGGCCCGCGACGGCGCATCCCGCACCTGCTGCGCGAGCATGAGGTTCGCGATGCGGAGCCACGTCTTGCTCCACACGTGTGCCTTGAACGTGGCCAAAATCTAGAGCGCGCATCTACCAACCTCGCACGCGCAGAGTGATAGTAGTACCTCGACGCGTGCGGACGGACGTGTCTCCAGCTGGTGCAAAAGCAACGTCGCGGCCAGCTGCTCGTCTACCACCATGAGTCAGATGATCCATGCCGCACAAGGTAAGACGCGGTGCTGTACAGTCGGGCGAGTGGGGTGTTTGCTTCGCACATGTGATAAGCAGGTCCATGGACCAGCCGCGCTCGGCCGCGTCGTCCAGCAGCTGACGCAGGAACGCTGGCGCATCGACCTGCTGGGCCAGCAAGAGGTAGCGCTCCAAGACCCTCTACCGCATTGGTGTGAGCACAACACACGCAGGGACCAAGACCACGCCAACGTACGTACCGGCGAGAGCGCGTGGGTCGTCCGTGCGTGCAAGACCATGAGGTCGGTCTTGAACTGGACGCTGCTCGGAAGCGCAGACGCGAGCGCATACACGCTTGGCTCGGCCCAGACTTCAGACGGAATCGCATCAAACACTGTGTGAGCAAAATGAATATGGCGCAAAGATCATCCGCGGGCTGTGTACCGTCGAGGGCGAGGGAGAGATGGCCCGACCCAAGACAGGCGGTGAGCATGCTCGCGGCGAGCGTCGTGGCCTCGGCCGGCAAGTTCCATTCGAACGCCAAGTCGACGGTGCGTGTGGCGCGTTCGATCGAGCCGTGGCGACCGAGGTACTCGAAGACGCGAATCAATAGGTCGATGGGCACGAGCATCTCGGTCGTGTCCTTGCAGTCGGCGAGGAGATCGATGGCCTACATGCAATAGTCCGTATGGAGCGTACATGGCGCATGCTACCGTATCGATATGGTCGTGGGCGAGCAGCGTCGTTACAGCATCCTGCAAGCATGCGTCGGGTATCTTCTCGGGCTCGAACGACGCGGCGACGAGGCTCTTGTAGAGGTGCAACACGTCGGACGGCGACGAGGACGACGACGCCAAGTCGAGGAGCGCGCGGATCGCGGTCGTAACCATGACGTCTTCGCTCGTTGCCAGCGCCATTTGACGCAGGATCTAGTCACGCCATGCTGTATGCTCGATGCGATTGCCTGTAGTATGACATGCGCACCTTGATGAGGTCCATCTCGCGGTACTTGACTTGCTCGTACGGGTACACGCGCGTTGCGTCGAGAAAGAGATCGAGGAGCTCGGGTGCCACACCCGGATGCTGCTTGAGGAGGTAGAAGTGGTTCATCGGGCCATGGTCTTGCAAGATGGTAGCGAACGCGCGCTGGTGGTCGGCGACGGTCGCGTCGAGGCGCAGCACGTCGCGCCACTTGTCCGACGACCAGGCCGTGAGCGCATGGCGCCACGCTTTGTGGTTGCTCGTAGGGTTGATTAGCTGCGCAAGCGCGATCTCGGCCGTCGAGAAGCACCGACGGGTCAGCATGCTGGCCCGCTGCATCACGGCGCGACGTCGAACGATGCGAAAATGATGTTTTGCGTGGCATATGCCGAATTGAAATGCCGAATCCAAGCGAAGTGATCATAGTGACGCCAGAGAGCCCAAGAAACCTCGATCGCTATGATACCACCACCGTACAAGGGCTACATTCTCATACCGTCTAGCATTGCAGCTCACACGGACGCGTCCCGTCTTCGTTGCCTTGTAGTCGTCTTCATAGCCTTGAAGCGTCGGCGCTGTTAGATTCGGCATTTGGTTTCCTGTCGCATGCGCCAATTCGGCATGGATCGTGGCAGTGCCGAATTGGACGATCCAAGAGCATGGAAGCCCGGGAGCTCAAGTTTGCCATCTTCAAGGACCTCTGCGGGACGCGGGAGCTCGGTCGATGGAAGCGCTACTGGGGCGCCTTCCAGAAGTACATGCGATTGCAACTCTCGCTCGGCGAGCTCCATGCGATGGTCGCGTCCGAGCTCTCGCCGCGCCAGCGTCCGTCGACTTCGGATCTTGGCACACGATGCTGATGAGGAAGAGGATGGTAGGGCGACTGCACAACCGGCTGGTCGTCATGCTGCTGAGCCGCGCCCATGCAAGCGCGGCTATGGCCAAGGAATCGGCCATCGGTGCTGCCCCATCGACATGTGCAAGGGACGACCTTGCAGATCCGCCGACGGATCCGACGACGGCCGACGACCTCCTTGTCCCCGAAACCCACGAGCACGGTAGACTCGATCACCTTGCATTAGGATGCATTGCTATGCTGTAGCCATTGCCATGCTGCTTGGCATCATGGCGAACGAGCCCCAAGGCTGCGTCCACGATGCCCAAGCGACGACCGACCTGAGTTTCCTCGCAGACCATATCCTTTCTTCTCTTCTTGGATACAAGCATGCACAAGGAGTAACCTTGACCCTTCATGAGCACTGGCCTGCCCCACACCGCGTCCGTTACCGGTATACGACGCGACGCCGGCGCCATTTGCCTCGACCAGCGATGACGAAACCATTGCCGGCTACCGACGCCATGCTCCGTCGGGTGGTTTCATCTACGCCGCTTCGATTCCGCCATGCGCCGAAGGGGCACCAGTGACGCCCATGGCGATGCCACTCGAGCACATTATGCAGCAAGCAGCGCTTCATGCAGGCCTCCAGCGCGTGGACCCCGAGGCCGTGACCGCCTTTGCCACAGCCGTCGAGGCACGCGCATCCTCTTGCGCTTGCAACTGCCAACGCTCATGCGGTGTAGAGCTACATGGAGAACGTCGCCGATGCGCTTCTGAGCCATGCGTCGTCGTCGCCATGTGCAGCGGCGGAAGGCTCGCCTTCGCGCACGATGAGGATTGCCCCGAAAGACTTGGTCGCAGCCACGACCTCGCACCCTCAGCTCATGCACCCGACCGCACCCATCGTTCGGGAGCGGGCGACCAGTGCCATCGAGAACCGCTTCTAAACAGAGGTGATTCACATGTAGTATATGTAGTATGGATCAAGCCACTAGGCGTCGGCCCAGCCCTCGGCGTTGTGCAGGCGGACGTCGGCGTCCATGTTAGGCGAGTTTTGGATCGCGTAGAGCAGCTTGACGCGCAAAATCTCCTTGGTCGAGTACGCGGGCAGGCTCAGCGAGAAGAAGCACGTCTGCGCATGCGGGAGGTAGGCGTCCGGCGTCTGGCGCGCGCCTTGGTCGTGGGGCGCCTAGGACAAAGCTGGTGAGTCATCATCCATGATCGAAAGCAGACTTGGATCTTGAAGTTCATGGGAAACTCCTTGGCCGAGTTGGGCATGCGGCTGCGCGCCCACACAAAGCGCAGAAAGAGCGTCCGGTCTTCGTTCGACATTTCGTGGAGCACTTGCCAGAAAAACTGAATGTGGTTGCTCTGCGGGTCCACGTCTTCGTACTCGGTGCACTGCTGCAGTAGGTTGACGTCGACTTGACGCCGACCGCACACGAGCACTTCAAACTCGCGCGCCGTAAAGAGCCCCGTGAGCTCCATCGGCAGCACCGAGGCGAGACCGTCGCGCAGCGCCTGAAGCTGCGGGCTGCTCTCGTTCAAACGCTTCCGAAGCGAGAGCTCGACGTACTCGGCGCGGTTGCTACTGTCGACCAACCGCGCGTCACCGTCCGGAAGCAGCGGGACCTCGGTGCCGTCGCTGAGGTGCGTCGTAAAGACGAGCGGCTCGCCCTTCAAAGCGTCGTCTTGGACTTGCTCGAGCATATTGGCTGCAACGACATCGATTTCGCGCAAGTGGGCTACGTGCAGAGGCAGGCCCACGAGTGGACGCCACACGACAGACGGCACGTCGAGGCCCATCTGGAGGCCGTGGCGCACGGCCATACCAATGAGCTTGCCGAGGAAGCGGTGCAGCTCCAATGCAATGGGGCCGACAGCGACCGAGATCGTGCCGCAGCTCGGGTTGAGCACAAACTTGTCTTGGTTGCTGCCCGTGCCAGCGCGACGGTTCGGGCACGGCACGAGGAGCGGCAGCAGGCCTTGCTCGCCCTTGGTCACTTCGACCTGGTCCATCTGGAGCTCGTCCACGATTTGCTCAAAGACCGCGCGGTACGGGCCACCATAGTCGTTGACACCCTCGCCGAGGAACTTGACCTTGAACGCACGCTTTTGCCCGCCGTGGCCTTTGCCAATGTACGCGCGGCGAAAGCCAGAGTCGCTCCATGTGCGCATCTCGCGGTAGAGCTGGCCAAACACCGACTTGCGCAGGCGGTCCGACGGCGCGGGACACAAGGCGAGCTTGGAGGCCTGTGCTTGGATCCGGTTGATGCGCAGCACGCGAATCTCGCGAGGGTCTTCATACTCATCGGACGGCAGCGGCGTGGCGGTCGTCGTCGCGCGCAAGACGCTGTCCCAAAGACTGAGTTTCGTGCTCGTACACACGAGGCGCCGCAGCGTGAGCAGCTCCCGGCTCGTGCGCGACCCATCGTCAAAGCACAAGAGTGGACTCGCCTGCAATACGAGCTGCTGAAAGGCGAGAAGGAGTGCGAGACGAGCGCGTAGCATGGGCGTCTCGAGACCATCCACAGGAAGTGACAGCTGCACGGCTTGAATGTGCGACCACGAGAGGTTCACGGCGTCCACGCCGTGCGTCGCACAGAGGCCGTTGAGGTGTTCGATCAGCTGCACGTCGGTCGAGAGCGAGTGGACTGGCGCTAGCGCAAGCGCTTGGTAGCCACCAAGACTCGAGAGCGCCACGAGCTCGTCTGCGTGGAGCGCGGGGGTGCTGGAAGGCGCCGGCGCTGGAATGGCGCCCGAACTCACGTCGACGCCGTCGCGCTTGACAAGAATGAGCTCGGGGAGCTCGGTGCCGTCCCAGTACCACGCGTACGACCGACCCTCTTCGCTGCCTTCGTTGCCCTGGGTTTCGACGCGGTACCAGAGGCGGTCGCGGTACACACCTACAATTTGGTGTTGAGCAGTCAAACGACAAAATATCAATCGTACCCAAGACGACGGCTTCCTCGGGTGCGTCCAGCGCGCGACCGCCCTTGGAGAGAATGCGAACGCGATCCCCGGCGAAAAATGCAATCGGTGCTTGCGCAGCGTCACAGACGCGCTGGCAGCTCGTCACAGCCGTGTCGAGGTCCACAGAGAGACGCCCGCGCGTGAGAACCCGCAGCGTGTGCTGCGTGAGCCACCGGTGGTACTGCCGGTACCCACTGTGGACAAACGACTCTGGCAGCGGCGCCGGCGGCTGCCGCACGAGGCGGTGCACGAGCGACGAAAACGCCATCGCCGTCTTACACACCAACGCGGGAGGAACGCCGGGTGAGCTGATCCACTTGCCGTTCAGTGTCACCTTGTCACCAGCCTTGCGCAAACCAATGCACGGGTATAGCGTCTTCGGGCTCTGGTTGTCGTGCTTGAGACCTTCGAACGCCGTGCCAAGGTCCGTCACAATGTGCTCGCCGTACTTGATACCGTCCATAAAGAACGAGAGCTTGCCTACACAAGCATGCACCGTCACGCCCTGCCGATAATGCGAATATTGTACCCGACTCCATGTTGAGGCAGACGCCAATCGTGTCGCCAGCGTTAAAGTGGTCGCCGTAAATGCGCTCGGTCGAGTTGTGGTACGTAGCGCGAAAGTTGACAAACCCCCAGCCCTGCCACCGGTTGAGGTTGACGACCGTCGTACCCTTGGTCTGCTTTTCGCAGACGCCGAGAAAGACAGAGCCAAACTCGGCCTGGTCGACGCGCAGCTCCCAGTAGTGCACACCGGCACTAAAGCCGACGGTGCCGAGCACGAGATTGCGCGAGTCGCCGCTGAGGCACTGCACGCTCTGCCCGTCGGTAGCAACTTGCAGCGCCGGGTTGGCGGCGTGCGGGTCTAGCGAGAAGAGCAGCTCTGACTGAAGCCGCACTTGGCTCTTGACAAGCGACCACGCTTTTTCGTGCCACCCATAGTAGACAGCGTCGCCCCAGCAAGTCGATGCGTCCACGACGAGCGAGTACTTGGTGCCGGGGAGCCACCGTTCGCAGCCAAAGCGCAAGCTCCAGCCCATGTCCATGTCACCTATTCGCACATCAGACCCATTGCATGCTGCGTTGATTGCTACCTTGCAGCATGGCCACTTCTTGCAACTGCAACGTGTGGTCTGCAAACGTCCCGGCAACCGCAATGATGGCTTGGTGGTCGGGCCACTCGACGACGCCCTCGACACGACCATCATGTGTCGACCACACCCGCAGCACCATGCCAAAGTGAAGCTCAACCGAAAACGGGTTGGCGAGAATGTCTGCGGCAGAGAGCGTGGCGCCGACCGTCGGCTTGGGCGTCGGGTACGTTCGCACCACGTTGTTTTGGTCGTCGACTTCCACGTGAGTCAAGTCGTAGTTGCCGTCGGCACCCCACCGATACGTGTAGAGTGCTTCGTTGGGCCAGCGGACGCTCATGCCCTCGCCTTCCACGCCGCTCCAGGGGCTAATCCCTTCGACAGTCCCAATCATGCCATCACCGCCATCTTGGTCGCGCCACTTCCAGTGCGGCCCACGCTTGACCTTGCAGCCGATGCCGAGCGGCGGAATGACCTCGGCCGCAGCCTTTGCCGCCTCCAGCTCGTCGACGGGGCGCTGAACCTTGAGCTGCGTTACGGCGCCCGTCCACAGATGCGCCTTCGCGTCGTCCGAAACGACACCCATGTCAAAGCCATAGGGCCACGACACAGGCGCGCCCGACTTGAACCCGAGGTACGCTGCTTCCATGTGCACTCGCTGCTCGGGCGTCAAAAGAGAGCTGTCAACGAGCTGCAGCGGGAACGGCGGCACTGGTGCGCGCGCAGCGGTCGCGACCGGCGTGTCCACAGGCAGTCCGTTCTTGTCTTCTGCGTTCATCTGAGCAATGGCGGCCAAATCCATTGGCGGTGGCGGTGGCGGCGGCGTCATGCCGTCGTCATCATCGTCGTCGTCGCCCATCGACTCGTCCTGCTTCTCGGCCTCGTCCACGTGTGGCGACTCGAGGAGCTCGAGCGGCTGCAATGTCTCGTACGCTGCCTTCGCGGCCAAGACGCGCTGCGCAAGCGAACTCGTCGGCAAGACGTCACCGTGCGCAATACACAGCGTCGACGTGAGCTCCATGAGGTGTTGGAGGTACTTGGAGCAGATCGGAAAGTGAACATACTCCTTTGCGAGGCGCTGGGTGCAGAGAGCGACGAGTCGTTCCAGCGGGAAGCGCGAAATTGTCTCCAGCGGCATCTCGGGCACGAACCGAGACAAAAGCTGCGCAGCCTTGTCCTTCAAGCACAGACTGGGTGACTTGAGGACGCAGAGCCACGCTTGCAAAAGGGCTTCACGCACGGATGGCCGGCTGTGCTCCAGCAGCAAAAACGTCACCCACTCGGCAAAGTGCACGTTGGGGTGCGTCAGCACTTCGTTGTCAGTCCACGGCGCGTCGTTAAGCTGCGCGAGGCTCGACACGACAACGAGCTCGTTGGGTGCGTCCCAGGGAATCTTGGCGTACTTGCGCGTGCCAGCGAGTGCGACATGGTCGCTCAACGCCGACAGCATTGATGTTGCGATACCTGGGTGCGAAGCGAGCATCTGAAGCGTGAGCGGTCGAAGCGTGTCGAGCGACGACAAGATCGCGTCATCACCCGTGGCCAGCGTTGCGTACGGTGCCACGAGCTTCAGGAACGTATAAAACGACTCGGCGGGCACGTCAGGCACGGCCAAGTCGACGGGCCACTGGCTCCAGATTGCCAAAAGAGCCTTGCGGGCATGCAAGATAGCCAACTGGCGCGTGAGTTGCATCCAGTCGCCAAGGAGCGACGCCGACGACGGGGACGACTGCAGCGCCGCAGCATTCTGGAGCTTGGCGCGGCCCGGAATAGTCGCAGCGGCCTTGAGGTCCTTCCCAAAGTACCGCGCGTCCGACGCGTATTGCTCTTCGCCCATACACTCTTCGAGACTGTCTTCGAGCGACCCCTTGACGTACGCCGTTGGATCTGTCGGAAGCGTGCGCAAGATCGGCGCAAAGTTGGCATGCGCCAGCGACGTCGTGCAAAAGGGCAGGCCGCCAAAGTTGAAGGCGAGGCGCTCGCGCCGGTTAAAGCTCGCACACGGATAGAGACCGCCGCTCACGTCAATGCCGCGGAAGGCCACGCCCATGTACTCGCCGTTGAGGCAAAAGAGATGGTCCCAGCGTCGCAGTCGACGCCGCAGCCAATCACGTCACCGACCTTCCACTTGCGGCCGTACGGGCTGCTAAGGCCGTGCCACTTTTGCTGGCGCCAGCCGTCATAGGCCCACGAGTGCGGCCCGTCGCCAACGCCCGTGCCACGCTCGGACGCGCCCGAGAACGCAGCGTCCGCCCAGCCAATCTGAATGCAGCCCGAGGTTAGCAGCGTCGCTTCGTAGTACCAACGACCCGTGAAGACGATGCAGTCGGGCGCGCCGACGGACGCAAAGCCGCCACCAGCCATGCCTTCGACGAGCAGATCGTCCGAGATCGATGCTTGACCGCTGATGTGCCGAAGTGGGTTGGGGCCTTGCCGCACCGTCTAAAGCAGAATAAATCGCTATCCAAGTAGACGCCTTAATAGACGTACCGATCGCTCAACGTGCTCGACAACGTCCTTTGCCTTTTCTTCTTCACGGCGGTCTTCGGCCTCGAGCGCTTCGCCGTTCGAGAGGATCCACGTGAGTGCTGCGTCCACGTTGTTGCGGTTTGCCAAAAGGGCCTTCTTGCACCAGTTGACTGGAAAACCCATCTCGCTCAGCTGCTCAAGGAGCATCGGCGGCACGGACGGTTCAGCGCGCTCCTTGCGTGGCGCCGGCGCCTTGGCTTTTTGCGTCGCTTGCTGCACGAGTCGGTCCATCTCGCCAGAGTGCTCAAAACAAAAGTTGATGGCCACCTCCACTTGATACGCGCACTTGGCGAGCGCAACTTCACACCACTCGCGCGGAAATCCCATCTCCATCATCTGGAGGCACAAGGCCGACGGTGGCGCCGCGGCAGCCGGGGCTGTCTTTGGGGCGTCAGCGTCGGTTGCCGCTGCCCCCGATGTGGGGGATGCCTCTTTGGGGAACTTGCTTTGGTGTTCCTCGAGCCACTTGCGGTAGAGGAGGAGCCACTGCTCTTCGAGGATACTCAAATCGGTGAGCCCACTCGTCGACGTAGGTAGCGTCGCCACTTGGCAAAGCAACGGCAGCGTCGGCTGGAGCCACACGGGGCATGCCGGCTGGTGCAGCCACGGACCCATCGCGCGGATACCGTGCAGCCCGACAAGCGCTTGCAGCATTTTTTGTTCTTCGTCGACCACGGAGCGGATCGCGTCCAGCGACAACGGTGCGTCCTTGGGCTCTTTGTTCTCGTCTTCACTAGAGCTTGTCGTGCTCGGGGCGGCAATGCTCAGGACGGCCTGGAGAAACTGTGGCGTGTGGTGCACAACAAGGCGCTGAATGACCTCGGGCTCCATGTCCTTCCACTCGACCTCGGGGCACTGTACAATGTCTTCGAGCGCGACGCGGATCGGGCGATTGTTGGTCGTGCTTGTCGACGCGCCCGCGCCCGTCCACTCGCTACCCTTGTGCAGCAGCACCTCGACCGATGACTTGTCGAGGTCCATTCCGACCAAGACGCCCTTCGCACCCTTGAAAACCACGTCCGACGAACTTGGGCGCGGCGCCAGCTTGACCATGTGGCCCACTTGGAGTCCTTCAATGTGTCCACCCAAGACGCAAAGGGCGGCGCAAGCTTGCATCTGGTCGCGATACCACTCCGTCCACTGAGGCAAGAGCGCATCCAGGGCGTCGGCTTCGGATACAAACGACGTCTCTTGCTTGGAGAGAGCATCCAAAAGCACGTCGTGCAAGATACTCTTCCAACCGTCAGCGACGAAGAGCGACCGCAGGAGATGCACCACCTCACCGACGAGTCCGTGCGAGGAGCCTGGGGAGAGGCGCGAGGGCGAGCTCGGTCCTGCCAGTTGCGTGAGCTGCCATTGCGCAAACTGGCGGGCAACGACGACGCCAGCACGGTGAGGAAGAAGACGACGAGACTCGATGGTGTGTGACCCGGTGCTGGATCGTCGAGCATCATGCTATCATCTTCCATGTCGTCATCGGCCTCGGCCCACTGGACGCAGCGGCGCGGGTGAATGTGCGGCAAGAGGCGACGCAGCAGCTGAAGCACGCGGCGTTGGACGGGCGACGAGCCTGTCTCGACGAGGCGCAAAAGAGGCGCAACCACTTGGGCGAGGACAAGTGCTGGCGGCAGAGCGGCGCCGTACTTACACTGTACAGAAGCCCGCAGATCTGGAGGCCATACTGCTGCGCCTCTTTGGACGCCGAGCCTTCTTGAGCGTTCCGGAGCTCGGTAAAGAGCATCTCAAACACCGACTTGCCGAGAGTTTCCGGACCCGACGGCTTGCGCGACAGCGGAATGCTTGTCGCGACCGACGTTTCTTCGGGGAGCGTGCCGGTCGCAACTTGGGCCGCGAGCAAGTGCACAACCTTGAGCGCGGCTTGCACAATATGCTTGGGCACGACCGCGCTGGACCGGGCCTCGTCGAGTACGGTCTGCAAAATACGGAAAATGCCGACGCGCGATACAAATGCGTGGTCGTCCGGCGTAATCAGCACGCCCCACGCTTGCAGCACGACAAGCTGTAGATCCGCGTCCTTGGCCCACGTCGCACGCGACAAGGTCGACGCCAAGTGTGCGTACAACGCTTCCCATGCATCCTTGACGTGGCCATGGAGCACGCGGCCACAGCCGTGAATGCCATGATCAAAGTGGTGCATGCGAAGCTTCTGGAGCGCCGTCTTTTCGGCGAGCGGGTCCAGATGCAGCCACTGGAGCGCATGACAGAGGGCGCTTGACGAGTTGGTGAGGCCGAGCTCGAGCACAAAGCGCATCGAATGCAAGCCCATGGCACGAAAGTACGCGCGACCTGCGTTGCGCAAGAGCATCTGATGCAGTTTGCCCAAGTGCGTGCCCGTCGCCTGGAGGAAGCGCGAGACGTGCATGAGCGTCTCGGAGAAGAGACGCTCCGAAGACGCACAGTTGAGCGCGAGCGGGTTCTGGAGTTGCAGGAGGAACCGCGCGCGTTGCATGAGGTACGTCGCCATGTCACTGTAGCTGTGCGAATGCTGCTGCTTCATGCGCACACTCCATTCGACCACACGCTGGGCCGCACGCCAAATGTGAAGCACGTTCTCGTTCGGCCGCTCCGTCTCGGAAATGACCATGTTGTCAAGCGTCAAGCCCGTGTGCCAGAGCATGCAGGCGCAGATCATACGCCGCGCCGTCTTCATCGCGTCGCCGCCAAGACGCAAGAACGGCGACTCGCCAGCGTGCTTGGTAATGTTCGCGTCAACGTCGTTGCGCCCAGCGATAAGATCCGCCAAGAAAGTCGATGGCTCCACCGGAGCGGACGTGAGCGCCGGCGTCACCGCTTGAGACCAGCGCGACGCCATCGCGGACCAGGGCGACGTTGGCACGGCAAAGCGCTGCGCAACGACCGTCACGTGCGGCAAGAGCTCTGGAAGACCGCCGCTAAAAAGTGGGCTCTGTACCCACTCTTCGTACTCTTCGGTTGTAGCTTCCGGCGACAGCGGCGACGTGTTGTCCGTCTCGTCGCTTGCGTGGAAACTCTGGTACGCACTTGGCTCTGGGTCGCTGGTGAGCAGCACCGTGTTGTAGGCACCGATGAGCGTGCCCACGACCATCTGGATGACGAGCTTGAGGTCCGGGCACGGCGGCGCACGCGGCAAGAGCGCACTACCGGAAATACCGCCAATCGTGTGGCTCTTTGTGTCTTCGTACGTGCCATGGAAGACGCGGCCATCAATTCGGAGACGGCCCTGGACGAGACACGTGCCGCCTTGGGTCCACGTCTCGACAAACGAGACACGCGTGCCTTGGATGGTACCCTCGACGGCCACCGACGACGACGCACTGTGCCCACGCATACCGCCGTCAGGAGATTGGTCGAGGTCCAAAACATATTGCTGGGCGGGGATTGTGCCCGCCGCCATGCTCTTGAGCTCCCACTTGCCGCCGATAACAAGGCCGAGCTGACGCTGTTGGTTTGTCGTCGACTTTGGTCCATCCAGATGCAGCAGCACTTCCAAGCACTTGGGGAGGAGATGCAGGGCAAACATGGTTGCAAGCGGGTGGTTTGGGCTGCGCTGGGCCTGGCGCACGAGCAAACACAGCGAGCTAAAGAGCGGCACACCAAGCGCGAACCAAAAGTTGGGCAATGACCCGACGACCGAGTGCACATACTCGAAAAAGGTGTGCAGCACGACCTCCTGGTACAAGGGCGTAATCGCGTGGTCAGCACTGATCGTCGCGGACGAGGCGCCGATCGACGCCGGCACAAGCGTGACCTGGTCGTCGCGCTGGTAGAGGCCGATCGCAGGATACAGCGTGCCATGTTGCGTCAATCCGTCAAACGCAATGCCCCAGTCCGAGTCGTCGTCGAGGAGGCCAAAGCTAAGCGCGCCCGTGTCCGTGTTGAGACGGATGCGCACGACGCTACCGGTGCTAAAGCCGTCGCCATAGTCGCCACGAACCTTGGACCGGTTGTGCCACAGCGCGCGCGTGCCAATCAAGCCCCAGCCGTGGCGGTCACCTCCCACGTACGTCGCGACGGACGCTTCACGAGTACTGACACCAAGGAAGACGTGACCCTTCTCGCACCGATCGAGACGTACGGCCCACTCGTGGAGGCCCGTATTGGGTGCACAGCCATACGTCGAGAGCACCATGCCCCATTGTTTCGCCGTGTGCTGCTTTGCGCTTGACTGGCCGTCCACGAGTGTAAGCGTGTCGGCGCAGCGCGCACCGTCAAATTCGAGACGCGTCGGCTCGTCGCCCGCTATCGAGCCGTGCAAAGATGCGAGGAGACCATCTTGTAGGGCGCGAAGAAGCTGGAGGCGCGCGTTGGGTGCCTTCCCGAGAAGCGGCACCGTCGTCGACGAAAACGCCGGTGTCGGGAACGCGACCGTGCGAAGCACAGGCTCGTGGGCGACATAATCTGTGAGCTTCTGCATCGTCGGCAGCAGATGCGACCACGTCTGCTTGAGCGCATCGGCTTGGCTCTCGAAAGCCTGCGCGTACATGTTCGCAACGGTGTCCAGCGACGCGTCGGTCGAGGTTGCCACATCAAACAAGCCCGGCGCGACCGCCAGCAAAAAGTCCAACACGCTTGACGAGCGACACGTATTCGCCTCGAGCGACTCGCGCACAAGCGAGGGCGGCCATATACACAGCTTGGAGCTTGCGAACGCATCATCGTCCAGAAGCGTTCGCGGTCTGGTCTCGGCACTGTACTCTTCGTGCAACGCAGGCACAAAGCCGAGCGCTAGGTCGGGAATGGCAAGACGGGTGCAGAGCAAATCGACTTGCGCGTGCGCGTGTGGAAGCTGCCCGAGAAGCGAGTGCAGTAGCGCGTGGCGCTCGCTGTGCGTCGGATAAAAATGCGCGATGCCGCGGGCCCACGTCACACGCGCCTGCGCCGGAAGGCACGCTCGGTACCGTGCGACGGACGCTGATAGCGACGCCGAGGCGTCGGTAAACACGACCGGGTCCAGAGGCGCATCGGGACCTTCGATACCCGCCATGTAGTGCAAAAGAACGTTCTTGAGCGCCAGCGGCAGTGGGTTGGCGTTCGTCGACGACTGGCCAAGGCCCACGGACGCCGGTGCGATGCCCATGACGTGCACATGGAAGAGGTATGCGTCGAGCGCATGCAAAAGTACGACGGCGCCAGACGTAAACACCAAAGCGTCGCGGTCCGAGCCGTCGACATGCGCTCCGACCCGGGCAAGCATCGACTGCAGCAAGAGGAACGCGAGCGGGTTGGGTACAATCGGGTTACTCGCGGACACGGTGCGCTTGGTCTCGGCGAGCTCGACGTACTCGCGGCAGATGACGTGGACGCCCGTCCAGAGATACTGCAGGACGACACTACCGGCGACAGTCGCATCGCTTGCGGATGAGAGATCGAAGACGGCAAACGCCGTGAGCTCATCGGGGCTGTACGCTGTCGGCAAGGATTTGGGCGCATTTTCCGGCAACAATGTGTCCGCATCGACCTTGGACTCGATTGCGTCGGCGTCCGTGACCTGCAGCTCGGGCGATAACGAGAGCGCAATCGCACGGGCCATAAGCGCTTCTTCATCGACGACTTCTTCGAGGGGCAGCTGACTGCTGCTGCTGTTACTCATCGCGTCCATGTCTTCGTCCATGCTATCTTCGAGTCGCCCCAAGCGCGAGCGGAGCGCCGCTAGAGGGCCCATGGTTCCTTCGAGCTCCATGACGCTGCTCATGAAGTCGGCCGTGTCCAAGACAACGTCCGAGCTAGGCACCAGCGGCTTCTTGGGCTGTACCTTGGGTGCGGCAGGCGCTGCTTCCCCCGGGGCGGCCTCGCCGCGCAGGACCTTGAGATGTGACACAAGCGGGTACTGCTTGCTCAAGTCAAACGAGAGCACGACTTGCGCTGCAAGCAGAAGTGCCGGAATCGTGCCATCGGCCAGCGCGCGGGCCACAAAGCGTGCGGCGTGCACGGTCGCTTCGTCGTCCGTGAGCAGCGGCGCCGCAAAGTCGGGCTGGTACATTGCGGGGATGTCGTTCTTCTGCTTCTTCTTCTTCGTTTTGGACGGAAGCTGCGCCTTCTGCTGCTTCTCGCGTCGCGGGTCGTGCACCGCCACGAGGGGATGACACAAGATCGTACCATACAAGAGCGGGTCCGAGTCGCGGATCGAGAGCAAGAGGGGGTGAAACACCCGCGCGTCAATCGGGTCTGAGAGCAGCTGAAAGTGCGTGCGCTCGGGCGAGGGGGGCGCCTCGTCGGCCATGCTATCGGGCTTGGCGTCGTCCATGCTCGCCTCCTGCATCGATGCATCACTCTTCTCCTCGTCCGACTTGCCGTCCGAATCGATTTGGTCTTGTCGCGCACGCTCCCGACGCCCCAAGCCTCCGCTCAGCGCAAACTCAATGTCCGACTTGGCTTCCATGAAGAAGCGCGTGAGCTCCTCGACGCGTTGCCGCCGGGCCGCGTCCGCCGAAACGCGGTCGGTCCCCTTGGACGGGGCGTCGGCCAGAGGCTTCTCGACGGCCAGCTTGATCGCTTCGACGCGGCCCATGACGCTGAGGTACGTAAGCGACTCCATCGAGACCACATGATCGCGGTCGGCCGAGAGCGCGGCCAGCTCCGTCTGCATGTAGGAGGTGAGCATGAGGGAGATGGGGCAGGAAGGGTACCATGAGGCGCTGGGACCGCGTCTCGGAGGTCATCTTGTCGAGGGGGTCGAGGAGGTCCGTCGGCAGCGGCCGAGCCATGTCGCTCTCGGCGCTGTTCATCCCGACTGGAAATTTCTATTGCGGAAAGATCTCTCATTGGGTTTCGCTATGGATTCTGGCCTCACTTCACACAACTCTCGCAACCCATACGACGCCCTCTCACAATTTATATTACTTGCGTTATAACAGCGCGTTAGACACACCTAACGGGATAATCTAACACTTGACGTCGTCGTACCACGACAAATCGTGTATGCGCGGCCACCTTGTGGGACGCAGGTCGGGTGACCATCAAATTGGTGACTTCCAGCATGGTAGACGAGCGCATCACACGACACCAGCGCCATGCTGCTACATTGTGCCAGGGCTCGGCCAGCGCGAGACATAGCAACCGCCTTGCATGGATGTTGATACGAGGCGACTGCATAAGAGGGGTTCAAATAGCTGCCCTATTTGTGGCGTTGTGAACTGGCGCTGTGCAGGGTCGTGCTTGCAGATTGCTCTTTTCCATCAGGTCGCAAAATTGCTGCTGGCGGAATATAGTTGCGTGTCTTCTTGATATCGTATTCAAAATAAATAGACAAAACCTAAATCCACCCCCTTGGTTTCCGATCGCGTCCACCAATGGGAGGCCTATCTTTGATGGGCGCGGTATCTTCGTTGAAGCCACCTTTGGCCCCAGCCCTTCGTACCAGATTGACTGCGGCAGCTGATAGTATTTATGGTCATGCTTTATATCGTCTTGATATACTCCACACGCTCGGTTATGACGACGGAATGCTAAGACGCTTTTGATGATGCAGTGGGAGAGCTCATTGCGTGTGGTCGGGTGCTGCCGCGACGGACGAGTTGTTTTCGGCATCTTGTGTGTGACGCGCCGAAAATAAAATTTCATGTGCGGCATCTGGTTGCCGATTTTACCAATTGGCCTGAAGATGCAACGTCTCGGTCGCCGGCGTCTAAGCTCGACGGCCGCGCCGTGGTTCAAGGACGGCCTCGCCTTTAGTTGCACCAAGTGCGGCAACTGCTGCTCTGGTCAGTCCGGCTCGGTGCGCTTCAACGACGACGAAGCCGCCACGATGGCTGCAAAGGTCGGCGAGACGGTCCCGGCCTTTCTCGACAAGTACACGCGCCGACAAGGCCGGGGCAACCTTTCGTTCTACCAGCTCAAGGAGGTGCGCAAGAATAAAGACGATGGCTTCGACTGCATCTTCCTCGACCGCAAAAAGATTCGCGGCAAGGCTGTCTGCAGCCTCTACGACGCGCGGCCGACGCAGTGCAGGACGTGGCCCTTCTGGCCCGAGACGCTCGAGACCCGGGCGACGTGGGAAAAGACTAAAGACTCGTGCCCAGGTATCAACAAGGGCACGAAGCAATCGACAGACGACGTCTCGGCCAAGGTCGCTGCGACAGTCGCATGGCGCCGCAGCCTCCAGTACAAGGCGCCACTCAAGCGCGGCAGCCGCGCTGCCCCAGCAGTTGCAGTTGACACCAAGGTCGCAGCTGAGTAGATTCGGTCATCGTCCATTGCAGTAGAGAATAGAGAGCACCAAGGCGATTTTGAATGATAACAAGCTAGGTTCAATTCCCACTCGAGCTTGGTCGTTCCTTCCTCCAAGCTACCGGTAACTTGATCGTGCAGCTCGTTGGGCAACGTAAACCACAAATCGAGATCAGTACTGACTGATTCACACAGTGCATCTCGGATAATGGAAAGGATCATCAGATTTGAGCTGGTCGAGGTCTACGCTAAGGGCACTGGCCTCGGCGCTGAAGACATCCGCAACGTACAGCTAGCAGGGTTGGTGGATGGGTATACCTGCTCTCTGGTCGAAACTGGACGCTACAAGGCGCACAGAGCCATCCTGCGCTCACAATTCCTTTTGCTTCTACCAATACTACTACCATGCAGTTCTGCTTCTTGCTTCTCGCCATCACCGCTTTTGCCAGGGCGACCTTCGCTGCCGAGTCCGAAGTGCTCGAAGGAGGCGTCGCCAATCCGGCCTTGCGTGGCAATGGCAAAGAAGAGCTCTGTTAAAATTGCTTCTGGCACCCCGAGCAGATTTACTGCGGCCTTCGCCCGTAGAGCTCATCACGGACATGTACACATCAATGACGCAATGTTAACCCGAATCAACCATCGACTTGGTTTCATCGATGGTACAGTGTTCATGCTCCAGCTCTACATAGTGGGGTGTGCTGCTACACTGCATTCTATCAGGCAGACAGGGCTTCTTTCCTCAAGGCCTTACTCCACCCTTGCTTTCCTTGGCCGACTCTTTTTTATTTTTACGACGAGGCTCCTGGCATTTTGTCTCCACCGTCCACTCGGCAGAAAACCGACAGAGAGACTAGCGGCTATAAGAATCGTGGTAGTAGGCGTCGGCGGTCGCGGTTTGCTGGAACGTGCTCTCGACCTCGTGCACCATGGATTCCCAGTCGACAGTGCAGAACCAGTAGAGACCGTAGATCGTACAGAGCGTAAACCGAGCCAGAGACCAACGACACCTCAGCCGCACACAAAGCCAAGGTAATAGCCGAGCGGGATGCCCACGAGAAGGAATCGATAAAGTTGAGGATCGCGCCTTGGTGGGGGTGACCTTCAGACACACATCGTCAGCACACCGAGTCATGGCTCGTCGGTGCGAACCCATGCCACGAAAGATGACTTGGACGGTTCCCCAAATGCCAATCGCAGTCTGCGCGGGCCTTGTGTACCAGAAAAGATCGTTCGCCGTGCTAGCATGTCGTCCTGAGTGCTGCTATCTGTCTCCACCTACTCGTATGTCGCACCTCAGAATGGCCTTGTCGGAAGTGTAGCCTTGCGCGTAATAGGGCCCGAGGCCCATCATCGCGACCGTGGCCACCAGTGCCCATGCGGCGGAGAGCTGGATGCTGTAGATGGCTGCGTTCTTGGCCGAGACCGCGTCACCCCGTCCAAGGGCATTGCCGACGCGAATGCCTCTACGTACATTCAGCACTTGAGCAAACGATGAAAATGGACCGAGATGGTACGCCACAAAGCTAATGCCAAGGTACACCATCGTAAAGAGGTAGCGAAAGGCCATGTAGATGGTGTTGGCGCTCATTGCGACCGCCGGCGATGGCAGTCGGCCCGCCAGAAACGAAGGCACAGCCATGCCCAGAAGCTCGAAGAGCACCATCCGAACACCGTTGGCACTAGTCAAAAGACGCTATAGCATGGTCGCGTCAATCCGAATACCTCAGGGACGCAAAGTGTGGCAGTCGGCGCTCCACTCAAAGTGCGAGTGCCACGGCTCGAGCTGACAGACCTTGTGCAACATAACGGCGCAGCCTGCGGCATTGAGAAAGGCCGCTGAGAGCGCCGAGCCTGCGTAGCCCTATCCAAGAACTCGATGGTCCAAAGCTGGCTGTGAGAAACGCAACGTACCAAGGGTGTGTGGTACATGAGCGTATACGAAACTAGACCGTTGACAAGGTTGGCGAGCGTAATCGCGGCCAAAATCGGGTTCAAAATCGTTTGGCCTTGCAGCACGCGCTTGAGAAATTCGTAGCCAAAGACAAATGGAATGCCGAGCACCGTGTAGCGCGTGAGGTGCTGTGCTGCCAGTGCAATCTGCCCTCCAGAATTCCATGTGCAATCTCAAAAATAGCTTCGATACCTCGTACGACTGGCCGAGGTACTGGAGAATGCCAGCCGAGAAGGTGCAGAGCAGCGAGAGCGGGAGGTACAAGATGCCCGCGCAGAGAAGACCCGTTTAGAAAATGTACCCGAGCTCGTGTAGCGACCCTTTGCCGTACGCTTGCGAGCAGAGCGCGTCCATGGCCGTGCTCACACCAATCGCAACGCTGTAGACAAACACCGTAAAGAAGAGCTCGCCGAGGTCGATCGCAGCCAGAAAAAGCTGCGACTCCGAGTCTTGCGTCGCTAGCAACGTACAACACCTAGTATGATCGACGTCCACGGGCGCCGAGGCGTACCGAGGTGGCCCGTGAGCATGCCGTTGACGGAGCTCGGCAGCACCTCCAGCAGCTGAATCGCAACCTACGCCGCCATGAGTCGCGATGGACGAGGCGAGAGGTTCGCACGAGAGGTCCGGAGAGCGCGAGAATCACGTGGAGCTCGTTGGCAGCGCCAATGGGTGCCACGAGCGGGTCTGTCTCGGTGCTCTTGGCCATCGCGGCGGATCGATGCGCTTTGACGACGCAAGTGGGCGAATGATGACCACAATGGATGCGTACTCAGATTGGAATGACCAGATTGGCGTCCGTAATGGCAAACCAGAAGGTTCCGCGTTCGGCAATTGACAGGACCCCTAGAGCTCGATTGACACGTTGCTTCAGTCCTTGCACCACATCCAAGCGAGCTGTTCGACACCTTCGCTTTGGCTATAAACTTATACCACGACCATAAAGCCAGGATTTTCTGGCCGTGGTTTTACGAGTCTTGCCCAACGTCGAAACCTCCCAGTACAAGTTATAGCACTGGACACCAAGTCAGAATGTGGGCGGACGACTCCATATACCGAGTAGCCCGGCAACGGACGACGTGTGTACAACTCGTCCAAAGTCCTCAAATGCGTTGTGCGATAAGCCATCGTCTGACGTCGCCGGGCATCAACGGTAGGGACGTCCTTCAAAACCACATACCGGTACAGACTTCAACTTGTTGGTCATGCTTCCAGTGGACTCTCTCAGACGCCGAGGGTGTCGTCGACCTTGGCCATCAAGTTTTCCCACTGCACCGTAATGAGCCAGTAGAGACCGTAGGCCGCACAGACGCCAAAGCCCGTGTAGACACCGAGCCAAAGACCGAGCACGCCAAAGCCGCCATGGAACGCCATGGCATAGCCGAGCGGGAGGCCGAGCAAGAAGAAACCAATCAGGTTGAGCGCTGCGCCTTCGTGCGGCGTACCTACAACCGATCCCATCGATTCAGATCATGCACATCCGATGCCGCACCGCTGCCTCGAAAGACCCCTTGCACGACGCCCCAGATCGCCATCGTTCCTTGCAGTGGCGCCGTGGCCCGCAAGAGCTCCTTCACAAGGCTAGAATCACCATGTCGCATTCACCACGCAATGAAGTGGAAGCAAAGACTACCTCAAGACAGCAGAGTCGTGCGTATAGAGCTCGGCGTAGTAGCCCCCGACAAGAACCATCGCGAGCCCCGAGAGGATGGCCCAGGACACGCTCATGCAGAGTGTTTGCCACGCCGCCGTCTTGGCGCGCTGTGGTTGATGGGCGCCGAGGGCATTTCCGACGCGAATGGAGCTACGGCACCATGAGCGAATGCTGTGGATCGAAGAACGTCTTGTACACGGCGACACCCAGGCCAAGGTACACCATAGAAAAGATCATGCGAAACCCCATGTAGATGGACGTGGCCGTGATCGCGGCGGTCGCATTCGGGAGGCCGCCGGCCAAGAACGACGAGGTCGAGACGCCTGCAAGCTCAAACACGAACATGGCCCAGCCGGAGAAGCTACCCAAATAGAAAATGTACGTGCCCGCTTCCGCTTGCAGAACGAGCTTCGACTACCTCCGGAGAAGGAAGAGAGGCATGCGCTGCCACGCACTGTGCCAGCACCACGTACTCGCTTGCAAATGCTGCAGCTGTGCGACCTACATCAATATGCAACAGTAGCAGCAAGCTCAACTCAAAGAAGGGGACCTTGGGGTACAAGAGCGCGCCACCTGCCGCATACATGCAAGGGAACGCGAGTGCACACCCCGTGTAGCCCTGCATCCCGCTGAGTTGTGCTCACAAGATTTTCGAGGCCAACCATCGACGTATGGTACAGAAAAGCGTAGGACACGACGCCGTTGACGGCGTTGGCGCCAAGGAATGCAAACACAATCGGCCGAACAGCGTTCTGCCCCTGCAGCACGCGCTTGAGGATTTCGTAGCCAAAGACGAACGGAATTGCGAGCGCCATGAGGCGCGTGCACGCTTGGGTCGCCAGCGCCACCTAGTACATGCATAGTAGTATACTATAGCCATGGATAGACGTGTGATTGTACGTCGAGGGGCTGGCCCAAGGCGAGCAACACGGGACTGGAAAACACACAGAGCGCGAGAAGCGGCAGCACGAGCGCCGACGACGTGATGCAGGCCGTTTGAAGCAGGACGCCAATTTCGTCGATCGCGCCTTTCCCGTAGGCTTGTGCGCAGAGACCATCGAGCGCTGTGCCAACGCCGATGGCGGCGCTGTAGATGAAGACCGTAAAGTAGAGACCGCTGAGGCCGTTCGCCGAGAGGAGCAGCCGCGCTTCGCTGGCATTGGTCGTTTCTAGCACAGCGTCGAGACGAGTCATTTGCAGCAAGAGTACCGAGATGGCCCGTGAGCATGCCATTGACGACGTTGGGAAGGTACTCGAGCACTTGCGAGACGATCTGTCAAGCCTCATGACGTCGTGCGGGTGGTGGAAAGAGATGGAAGGATGCGTACGAGGGGCAGCGCGAGGAGCAAGAGATGGCGGAACTCGTCCTTGGGCGTCGACGGCGCCATGAGCGGCGCAGTCTCACTCCGTGCCATTATAAGCAGAAGACTGACTGTTCGCGTTGCCAGCCTGTCCCCAGCACCACAGCACATCTTTATCCGGCGGTCGCAGCTATCCGAATCAAACGCCCATGGTATTATCAAGGCCATAAGTGTTGTCGTCCTGCGGGTTCGAGCTGTTGGACAGGCCGTGTGCATGTAAGCTTCGCCCCGAGCTACGGCCCACGCTTTGCGCCCTTGTTTAAGACCAATCACCGAATGCCCAGGCTCGATTGCTTGCAGAAGACTTGTCTTCCAACCGACGATCATAGAATGCCCGGTCAACCTTGTGAGATATTGGTGGCGCTCGATGGCTCGAATGGATAGGTCGTCGAGATGGATGCGGTTTGTACTGGTTTAAAAATTATAGCGGCGTGTAGCTCGACGCGCGGTCGTACGAGCTCGTGGCCGAGAGAGAGCTCTCGCTATTGAGGCTGTTGACGTACGTGGGCGTCGCGCCATTCCCGTCGTCCGAGTCGTACCGCAGCGGGTCCTGAAACAAGTCCCCACCCCGTGTCCAGCGCGACCTACCGCATTTATTCGCATCAGCCATGTCCTACTACTAGGTGGTCTTCCCATACTTTTGCTGGTCGGCCACGTTGATGGGCGTCGTGCGGGCACCGTACTCGCGCTTCGGGCTCGCTGCGAGGTGCGACGTCTCGGAAGTGACACGCTCGGCCACGTGGCCCGTCTTGATGACCTGGAAGATGCCAAAGTCGGGCAGTTGCCGGTCGTGGGCCTTGTTGTGGCGCGGCGCTACCCAGGCGCGATAAGACCGTAGAGAAAGAAGCGCGTGGAACGTACGGCCGACGCCGCCCGCTTCGGTCGAGACGAGGAGCAGCAGCAACACGGTGGGTAAGAAGTCCCACACGACAAACAGAATGAAATACGAGAAACTCGTGATCTGGCCAAACTGGTCGACGGGATTGAGGACGCTGAAGCGCAGCCAGTTCTGGGACGTGGCGAGGTCCCGCATCGAGCGCGTAAAGAAGATGACGAAGAGGAGCGAGTTGAAGATCGCAACGCTCTACGATCGCACGCATGAGGCGAGATCGAGGAGGAAGATATTGGGAGCGTGTACCCGCGGCTTGGAGATGAGGAGGCGGTGGCGCGTCGAGTCGCGCACGTGTGCGAGCTTCCACCCAAAGAAGGCGAAGAGGAACGAGAGGAGGAAGAATGAAATCGACGAGTACTCGAGCTGCGTCTTGACCGCCGAGATCTTGTACATTTCTTGGTCGTACTGGTCGCCGTACTTGAACGCGTCTTCGAGGCTCGAGTTGGACGTAAAGGCCCAGATCGCTGTGAACGCAGCCATGCAGAGCGTCATGAAGAGGTACAAGGGCACGCAGACATTGCGCCACGTCGAGTGCCACGCCGAGCCCGTGATGACCTGGATGTAGAAGAGCACGAGGAGCGCAAAGTTGGCAAACTGGATCGGCGTCGGGAACCAATAGAGGAGGTAGAGCTCGAGGTACGTCATGTGGTCGCGGAGCTCGAGCGACATCCAAAAGCTGACGCGGACGATGGTCCAGAGGAGGCAGATGCAGTCAAAGCACGTGGCCCACGACAGCTTCTTGCTCTTGTTGCGGAAGCCATGGCCGAGCTTCACGAGGAGGAAGAGCATGAGGCTCAAGCACATCACGATGAGCGTCCACGTGTACACCTTCTCGGCCGGCGTCGGGTCCCATGCGTCGGCCATCGCTGCAAATTTAAGGCGATCTCGCCGCCAGGTTGACTGGTGCGTTTTTTCGATCCGATACCGAGGCATACAAACACCAAGAGCAATTATTTTTTATATTTTCGAGCAAATAATGAAAAAATAGCACCACGGCGATGACGCCCAGCTGGAAGGGGCTGGGACGATTGCATGAGCGCGCATGGGCATGGACCATCGTACGAGCACCCTCGTCTCTCTCGACTCGTCGATATTGCGGTGCAGCGGCCGTTGGAACAGAATTGAAGTGCGGCGCTTGGCGGAATGTACGATCCGAATTCGACAAGTGCCCGACTTGCGCGTACAAGTGGTAGCTCCAAACAGACACCAGCGGGACTGTTAATACGCTTGCAGCTTTCGTGCAGCCATGAGACCTTGCAAGAAGCCGCGCCGGGATGACAACCGCTTCACCGTTCACCCATCTAAAGACATAGCGGCTTTGTAGCAGGTTGCGGCTAGTGCATATAAGCGTAGTTGAAGAAAGGCTATGCATGAGATTGGTCCGCCAACACTTCTTTGCTGAAGTGACGAAGTGACCATGGGAGGATCTGTCGTTGCCATTTCCAAATGTACGGTATTTCATTGAATTGACGGGAAATTACTGTCCAGGGCGTGACGCACTTGGCCGCGCGCTTCAAGTCGCCCGGATATCCGGACGACATGGTATCCGGCACATCAACGAAGATCGCAAATCGCCATGGCACCAGGAGGCAGCGGAAACAGCAGTCAGCAGCGGCAGTTCTTCGCCGACCCCGACGAAGCCACGTACCGCCAGCGCGTGATGAAGACGTGGGATATGCTGGACGTTCGCTGCGCCTTTGCATCCGCCGAGGCTGTCGACGCTGCCCGGCGCCTTGTCGAGGACACACGACGTAAGGCCTGTGTAGCACTTCGCCGATCGTCGTACGCTCACGCCGCTTCTGCAGGATGTGGTGCACCGACCAACGAAGCTGCGTACCAAGAGGCGTTAAAGCTCACGCGCGCGGTGCTCCACCCAGACACTGGTAATTGATGCTCTTCCATGTTGCGTCGCTTGTCAACAGGACGCTGTAGGCGCGCCGGTAGTGCTGCCGCTCCGTGTGTCGATGATCGTGCCCATGAACCTTGGCCTCGACTGTGGCATGATCCTAGCCTCCACGGCGCGCTCGACCGTATTTTGGCAGTGGTAGGTTGGTCTCGCATGGATCCGACGATGCATGACGTAGGCTCAACCAAACGTACAATGCGTTGCACTACTACGCCAACCGCAATGCGACGAACGAAGACACAACAAACCAACGCATCGCTGCCTACCTCGCCGCCACGGCCAGCTCGGTCGGCGCGTCGGTACGCTCGTCTATCAACAACCGCACGCGTCATTTTCGTCCTTGTAGCTCGGTGTGCGCTCGTGGGCCAAGGCCAAGGGCCACCCCGTCCTCTTGCGCATGGCGCCGTTTGCCGCTGTCGCTGCCGCCGACGTCCTTAACCTCGCCGTCATGCGTCAATCCGAATTTCTTCGGGGTGCGGTTCTCAAGTTTTACTACTCGGATTTTGACAGGACATGATATTGTCATTAGGTGTCAACGTGTACAACGAAGACGGCGACTGGATTGGCACGAGCAAGCGCGCGGGGCTCTTCGCTGTCGCTGCGTGCATTGGCGGGCGCATTTTTGCTGCCGCGCCCATTTTAATTCTTCCGCCTCTGACCATGCGGGCGCTGGAAACCAAAGTCGACTTTTGGGCCCGTCGGCCGCGCCTGCGACTGCCCACGACACTGGCCATGGTGGCCGTCGCGATCCAGTGCGCCGTGCCATTGACGTTTGGCCTCTTTCGGCAGTCGGCGCAAGTGTCGGTCGGATACCTCGAGCCCGAGCTCCAAAACAAGCACCGACTCTCGGGCGAGCCCGTGCGTGTGGCCACCTACAACAAAGGGCTCTAACTTGTCTCTGGGCATGCTTGCGCCGGCGTAAACGACGATCGACAAAACATTTTTTTCATTTTTGAGCGCAATTTTGTCGTCCCCGACCTTCTTGTTCAGTAGCATGACATGACGCGATGGAAAGTCAAGTCCGTAGCCGTCAACAAGCACAGAGACAACGAGTACTGGTAGGAAGCACTCGCTGCGTCGATCGCTACTTGCGTGCCACGATGAGGTACACTTCAAGGCCGATGGGCATGCCCTTGGTCGCGAACCACTCGTTGGAGAGGCGCGTCATCGTCTCAAAGCGCTGGCGCTGCGCCGCGAGGCGAGCAGCATCGTCGGGAAAGGCGTCGGGCGAGAGCGGGTACATCTGGTTGTGGTACTCGGCGTTGCGCTCGCCGCTCCACTTTTCCGCAATACACAAGAAGGGCCACGAGATGACGCTGCTGAAGCCGAGTTTGTGCATCTTGGCCTTGAGCTCGTCCAGCTTTAAACCGAGCGCAAAATTGCCATGCATGGCACCGCGGTTGCCAATATCGAGCTCCTTCTCCATCATGCTCGGGATCGTAAAGAGACCACTGTGCTCCGGGCTGCCCCAAATGACAAATCCGGCGAGGCCCTTTGGCATGAGCACGCGGTAGGCTTCGCGGAGCATCGCGTCCGGGTCCGGCGTCAGCTGCAAGACGAGGCTCGCAATGTATCGATCAAACGACGCATCTTCCAAGCCCTGGAGCTCCTGCGCTATTGCATGGCTGGCGTGAAACGACCGGCAAGAGGCATGTCGTCGTACCGTTGGCCAAAGCAACGTCGACCTTGGCCTTGCCGTGGAAGGGCGCAATGCGCGCTTCGAGCCGCTGCAGCATCTCGGGCGAAAGGTCCGTCGTCAAGACACGCGTTTCGCGCTCCGTTGAGAGGCGCGAGAGCATGTCCATGGTACCGACGCCAGCGCCGGCGCCGATCTCGAGGATGCTCGTGGCATCATCGAGCTCCATGTGAGCGTGCAGAGCGCTCGAGCCCTGGATCGTCATGCGCTTGTTGGCCATGTCCGTGTACGTCTCGGAGAAGTTGTTCCAGAAGGTCTGGACCTGGCGGACGGCGTCGTCCAGCGGGATCGGCGGTGGCTGCGACGACATGAAGATTCGGCAAATGTCGACAGGCGGCGAGATTCCAAGTTCAAGTCTCTCGATATTGGATACCTCTGGCATATGATATTCCGATGGCAATGATGCACAACATAAAAGATCAACGGTCGAACCCAGTTGTGGCTTCTTAGTTAACTTAGGATGGACGTTCTTCGTCCAAATCGCCAGTGTACATTGCAAATGGACGCTATTCGTCCATCTCGCAACGTGGAGGTTCGACCTGGTTGATGGGACTGGATAGCATCTTGGTTCACGACTCGTCGACCATGCGTTCGTAGAAGAGGACGTAGGCGCGTTGGGCCAAGACTGTGCGGCGCGACACAACCGAGACGAGTGCGTCGTTCATACACAGCCAGCCATTCGACCGGCGCACGTAGGCGACGTAGTGGCCACCGAGGACCGAGGCACCGCGATGACCGATGAGACCAACAAGACGGTAATTCACTGCACCCAGCGCCAGCATCTCGTCCACAACCACATGACTGGTGCCCTTTACGTTGTAGTTGGTCGCGCTGAGAGTGAGGACGAGCACGGGCGGCGCGAGGAGTATCGCCCAGTGCTGTTCGGACGTGCCAAAGATATGGCAGCGGTCGCACGTCCGCTGAAGCGTTTTCGTCGCGAAGTTCGCGAGACCAGCCGCGACCGACGTCGTCTCTTCAGCGATCAATGAAATGTCCCGGTAGGCATCCGACGTCTCGGACTCGAGGCCGCAGTGGGGACAGGCACTCGTCGCTGTCCAGTACGAGCCGAACACATCGTCTGGGATCGTGGAAGCCACTTGGAGATCCGAGACGAGCCACGCGAGGTATTCGCTCGCATCTTGCTGCTTCGAGGCCGAGTGGAACGGTGGCATCAAGGCTCTTTGGTCGCTGCGGTATGAAGCCGCGTCGTTGGCAAGGATGCCCGAGACCACGCGCGCGAGCGCATGGGTTGTGTTGGACTCGCTCTGCTGTGACAGCAGCGCGTCGACAAGTGGCGGCGTGTGTGCTAGGCACTGCAGAATAGCATTCATGTAACACGTGTTGCCGAGGTTGGCGAGGCCAGCGTGGCTCGCATCATCGCGTTGTGTTGGCGACCGTGATGCCGCGGACAAAGGTGCTGGAACGACCTCCTCTGACGACAGCGTCGTCGTGGCTGCACTGGTGCATGGCTCGACGTCGGCTACCGGGAGGAATAGTGGAGCGTCTGTTGGGGTCATCGTTGTCGACGCAATGTCTTTGCTGGTGGCGAAGCCAGTGACTCGGCGCCCGGTGCGCACAATGCAGCTTCGAGATGCTGCACCTTGCTTGCATACTCGACCAGAACCATTTGGGCTACCCGCAGCTCTGCTTTGAGACGACTGTTCTCGTCTTCAAGAGCAACAATCACCGACTTGCAGCTGCAGGCAGCGATGGGTGCCTCTGTTGTCGCTACCGGAGCAGAGGGTTCGTTTGGTGGTGCGACGGAGCGAACTGGTGCCTCCGGGCGAGATACCACCAGTGGGGAGCGAGTCGGCTTGATACACGCTGGAGAGGGCTTCAGCACCGACGATGGCGGTTTGGCCGTGCGTGTCATTGTAGGTGCGAGGACCTTCGGCACGCGTGCTGCTTGACGAGCAACTGACTTGGCCAGCAGCGTCGGCTTGACCGGAAGTGTCGGCTTGACAAGTGCTTTGGTGGTTGCACGCTTGTCTGCAACCGGCGCGGTCGTTGGCTTGACAGGTACACGCTTGGGGACTGGGGCACGCGTGGGCTCAGCGAGAGCAGACTTGGCCTTGCGACGCATCTCGGCGCGGTGGAGATGCGGGAATTCGGCTTGGAACTTGGCGTCGGCGGCCGCCGCGCGAGCGGCGGCGACGTCTTGGAGGTGGTTGGCGTTGAAGCGGTGCATGGTGTTGTCGGTGGTGCTCGTTGAAAATCCAAATGAAAGTGGCTGCGGTTCAAAACCTGCATGTTTGTCGTACAAAAGCTCATCGCTCTCATGCTTTTACAGCGCCCCTGTCGCTTTCGTCGAAGACGCTTTTACCACGTCGATGTCGAATATTGTCTTTGCAATGGCGCCGTACCGGAAGCGGCCACATTGAGCGGGCAGCCGATATTGAGTACACAATGGACTGCTCATGTAGCCCCGAAAAACACAGAAAAACGACTGGAATGTGCAAGCAACGTCATCGAATGCAAGCTTTCGATTCGCACAAGATCGGCTGCAAACTGATGAGGAAAAGCGCCACGTCATCCATCCATCCGGTTACGCACTGTGTAACCGGCCGGGATCGTCTTGCCGATCTTGGCAGCCATCCTGGCGGCTTCGTCGTCGTTGAAGCGCACCGAGCCGGACCGGCCCGCTGCGGACCGCGTTCGTGAAGCCAACAAAAACTACTTTGGTGCGACCAACGGATTCGTTTCGACGATCACGCCGCAGCTCAAACCCTAAGTGTGCCCTAACCCGACTACTTGTGTTCTTGGATGATGTGTTGCCGCAACCAAGGTGAAGAGCACGAACGCCACGCGGCAACACACTCCGTAAAACATCAGAGCAACGTATACTGACAAGATGCCAAGTCCTTACTTGCGCGCCAAGATGATGTAGACTTCGAGGCCAATTGGCATCTCATGAGTCGCGAGCCACTCGTTCGAGAGCTGCGTCAAACACGCATGGCGGCGCATCCGGAAGGCGTCCGCAGCAGCCGCGTCCCCGTCAAAGTCCTCCAGCTTCACAGGCTTCAGAGCGTCGTAAGCGCTAGCATTGCGGGCGCCGTCCCACTTTTCTTCCACAAGCAAGACGGGCCATGAGACGACGTGGCGAAAGCCCACCGACGTGATCGTGGCCCTGAGCTCGTCGAGACGCAAGCCGAGGTTGAAGTTGGGATGCAGCGCGCCACGGCCGCCAATGTCGAGCGCCTTCTCCATGTCGCTTGGAAGCGTATCGACGCCACTGTGCTCGGGTGCGCCCCAAATGACAAAGCCGGCGATGCCATCGTTGGCGAGCACGCGCACAGCCTCTTTTAGCATCGCGTTCGGGTCGGGCGTCAGCTGGAGCACGAGGCTTGCAATGTACCGATCAAAGGCGCTGTCGTCAAGATCCCGCAGCTCCTGTGCTACACGCATGGTCGGAGAGTCTGGATAGAGACTATCCACGCACCGTTGGCGAGCGCCACGTCAATCTTCCGTGTCTCCTGGTATGGCGCAACACGGCGCTCGAGGCGCTGCAGCATCGCAGGCGCGAGATCCGTTGTAAGCAGCGTCGCGTGCGGCGACAGGCGCGAGAGAATATCTTCCGTGCCGAGGCCGGCGCCAGCACCGACTTCGAGCACACGCGTCGCCGTATCGAGGTCCATGTGGGCGTGCAGGACGCGCGAGCCTTGGATCGTCAGCGTCTTGTTGGCTTCGGCCGTGTACACCTCGGCAAAGCCGTTCCAGAAGCGCTGGATCTGGCGCACGCTATCGTCCATGGGTACCGGTACGTCCGCCAGCCGCGTCATGGCCTCGCAGCCTCGGATTGCCTCAGTGGGATTGGCTTTTGCAACTTCAAGTACATCAAAATACATACCTCTCACATATGATATCCTTGATTTCTATATATACCTGTAATATTGCATATTACACTGACATTGAATAGAATATACAAAAGCCGAGAGAAAAGATCCTGGACGCGAGGAGACACGGTTTTGCGGTGCTGAGAGTCATGCCCACGGACGACGAAAGCAAGGCCCTCCAAGAAGATGGTCTTGGTGACGCTGACCTCAAGGTACATACGCGTCTTGTATCGTGTCGGCAGTCATCGATGTAGATCATTCTGCTGGGCGACTCGGCGGTTGGCAAATCCAAGCTCGTCGAGCGCTTCATGATGAACGAGTACCAGCCGCGGCAGGTGCATCTCTCATCTCGGCGACAGCAATGGCTCGAGGTCCATAACGTAGCTCTCGACGTTTGCGCTCACGCTCTTCCGAAAAGAATTGGCGATGGACGATGGCACGACGACCAAGATCGGTGCGGCCACAACGGCATGTACCTGGTGATCCCACGCAAGAATGCTAGACATTTGGGACACGGCGGGCCAAGAGCGATTCTCGAGCATGCATCCGTCCTACTACTTTGGTGCTTCGGCCTGCATCTTGGTACTTGCTGCTGCTGCGAAGAAGAAACATTTAAGCGATTCTGGGCGTGTAGGTGTTTGACGTAACGCGCAAAACCACGTACCAGCACTTGGCCGATTGGTACAAGGAGCTGCGAGAATACTGCGAGAACATTCCTTGCTTTTTGGCGGCCAACAAGATCGACGTCGACCTCGAAGTCACGAATAAAAGTTCAAGTTTGCCGAGACGCACAACCTCGGCTTTCACTTTGTGTCGGCTGCCGACGGCACGAACGTCGTCAAGGTGCCGGCGATGCTTTGTGTGGAACGTTGCAAATAATGTGGCGCTAGATCTTTGAAGAAGCCATCCACGCGGGCCTTAAGTACAAGAAAGAGGGTGGCGACTTTATGGCCGACGTCTTGGATTTGCTCAACGAGCCGCCTCGCAGTGCGTCGGATCTCGTCGGCGCGCGGTGCTGATCGATGTCTGTAGAGTAAACGAGACAAACTGCCGGCGCCGATGCTCCTTGCCTCGGTGCAATACCTCCTTCTCCATGCACTGAACACTCGAGGTGTTGCCATTGCGCTCGGTGTGACGGCAGAATGAGCATATGACGAACCAATATGCAACGACTGCCTGTGCTTGAGAGATGGTGTGTTGTGCGTAAGGATGCTGGAGACACACGCAGAGACCATTTCACGCAAGCTCTATCGCCAATGAGAGAAAATGCGCTAACCGAACAGTTCGAGACGAACTCTTGTTGAGAACGTTGCGGTTGGATGCGGTTGAAACGCTGGAATGATGAGCTTTTGCGCATGTCGAGCAAAGACACGACATGCAGTCCTTCTTCCTACGACGCCCGCGAATTGTTGTCGACGTCGACATTCAAGTGGAAGGCTGCTACAACCTGCCCGAATCCCACGGGCGCCCCATTAGCTGTGCTTGGACGTATGCGGATGGTCGTCGCGGCGACAGCCCCAGCGCAACCATTGTCGAGCAATGCGTCAAGTGGCCGTCGTGGCGCATATCCCTGCCTCGCTGCGAGCTACCCATCGGCCAGGACGCTGTCGTCGCCAGTCGCTGCGTCTGCTTGAGCGTGCGTCAAGAGACGTCGAGTAGCCGTCGCCACACCCGTCTCGGTGTCGTGTCCATCGACGTCGCCGACTTTGCCGGACGGCTCGGCGCTTCGTCGCGCCGGTACCTCTTGCAAAACTCGAGTCTCAACTCGACACTCCACGTAGCTCTCGTTCGTCTGCTTGGATCCCACGCTTGCAAGTAGGTACTCGTGCACACGAAGCAAGTCGACGGCGATGTGCTCCTCAAAACGAAGTATGCATCCTATCGTTCGCGTTTTTTAAACAACGTGTGTGCCTAGTCGTCGCATCGAGGCAGCCGCGGCCGTTGGTACCCTGGCTCGGAAGGACAGAGAGCACACTCATGATCGAACCTAGTGTTGCCATCGCGCCTTCGCCGACGGTCGCTGGACCGCCACGTCGCCTTCGGCCCACTCCGATCCCTGAAACGAACGGAGCTTGGTGTAGATCGCGACGCCAACGCGCTCGATGCACGTGGTGTGCATGCGATCGTGTCCGACATTTTACGCACCTCGGAGGAGCTCCGGAGCCGTCATCTTCCCTCCAAGTAATCTGATTGTCTCCAAGTCCGAGTTGGTGCTGGAGTGGTTCTGGAGTAGTACAGAGCTATCCTGGTAGGAAAGATAGCATATCCCTTCAAGATTCGCTGCTCCAACATGACGCAGCGTGTGCTTGGCTCTTGAGCTCTGGTCTCGGTCGTGGGTAGACTCGCCGACTTCGTGTATACAGACAGAATCGACCCTCTGGGTGCCCCCAGTGCTCGCCAACAACGCGATGCGACGCAAGCGATCTTCATTACGTGTTGTGTACGGAGAGATTTCTTATACGTCGAGCACGAGCGCCTTGGCCAAGCAGAGCGCGATTTGCTTTTGGACGCCGAGGCTGGCTGCGACGACAGCGCCTTCGGTCGCCGTCTTCTTCTCGTCCGAGAGCCGCACAAAGCGCAGCTTCTGGTCCTGGATGGCTTGCAGCACCGCGTAGAGGTCCGAGGATGTAAACACGGGCGGCTGCAACGGCACGAGCTGGTCCACGAGCGATAGGATCGTCGGCCACATGGACGTCGGAATGTCGCAGCTGCGGCAGAGCATGCCGAGGCGCTTCGCGGCCTCTTGCTGCACTTGGGCGAGCGCCGCATGCTTCGTACGCGAAAGCTCGGCCACGTCGCTAAACACGAGGAGGAGCTCGTGGTAGGCGACCGTGAAAGCCGTGATTGCCGTCGCGTCGGCTTGGTCCGAGGCTTCGAGCACGTCGGCAATGTGATGCAGCCGCGTCGCATCCCGCCAGTTGGCTTCGCAGAGCGCGTCGATGGCGACGGCATCCCGCGCGCGGAGCAGCCACGTCATGGCCGTGCCGACTCGACCCTTGGCCGTCCAGTACGCGCCGCGGTCCAGCGCCAACTGCTTCACAAAGTGCCGGAGGCCATACGTCTGCGCGTGCAAGAGCAGCTTGTCGGCCTTGAAGTCCGTGAGCGTTGGCGACCGGCGCTGCGCGTCGAGGAGCGAGAGCAGGACGGGGCCGCCGCCAAGCGGGCACGTCTCGAGGTACGCGATGAGCAGCGTCGCGTTCGGGTCGGCGCTGACGAGGAGCGCGTCGACGTACGCGAGGACGAACGCCTCGGAGCGGGCGACGTGCCCTGCATGCGAGAGAAGGTCCATGAGATGCGCGGGGAAGAAGGGAAAGGCGCTCGCACACATGCGCTGGACAGCATCAAGCGCAGCGGACAAGTCAAACTCGAGCAGCGAGACCACCATTTCCTCGAACGGACCGAGCGGCGAGAGTGACGCGCGGAGGTGCGTCACGAGGCGCGTGCATTGCGCCGTGCGTGAGAGGTGCACCTTGGGGTCGTCGAGCACGCAGCGGGCGACCGCTTGCGTGTACCATGGCGTCGCGTCGGCCACATCCGCGCCATGCGTGAGCACGTGAAGGATCATTTTGAAATGCATGTCCTTGGCGAGGTCGCCGGCGGCTAGCGTTCGACATGCGTCGTGCCACGCCGGCCACGACGAGTCGGAGGACTGCGACGGCATGTGGATGAGCACCTGACGCAAGGGTTCAAGCGTTGCGAGCGAGTAGTTGGCATGCGAGTAGAGGCTCAGAAGCTCCCATGCCTTGCGCCCATGGCCCGCGAGAATGAGCTGCACGATCGTCGGCCAGTACTTGGGCGGCAAGTCGACGTTGCTGCTGACCGACGTGGCGAGCTGCGTCTGGAGTTCGAAAAAAGTCATGTCCATGTCTTCAATCTCCATTGCCGCGTAGTGCTCTTGAATCCACTCGGCAAAGGCGTACGCGAGCACCGAGTCCTATGCGTAGCGAGCGATGGTCAGCGGCAAGGCCATGGTGCAACATGTTGGAGGCGTACATTCGTCGCATCGAGGTACAGGATTTCGCACAAGTGGAGCAGCGCCAGCGATGCTTTGACGATGTGGACGAGGTCAGCCTCCATGTCGAGCTGCTTGGTGTCCATATCGTTGGCACACGTGCGCATCGCGGCGCGGTACTGCTTGGAGGCTGCGAGCACGAACGGGCGCAGCTCCGCGGGGTGCGTCGAGCGGCTACGCTGAGCCAGCGTCTCGAAGACGGGGAAGCATTCGTTGACGAGGTTGCGCATGTGCAGGCTCGGGGTCGACGCCACGGTCGCCGGGCTCTCCATGTCGACGTCGGCCGTCGACGCCGTCGTTGGTGGTGCGGGCCAGCCCATGTCTCCGGTCGATGCTTGGATTTAGTAATACGGTCCTTATTGTCCAATCGCCGCGGCCATGCAAGATATCAGGTATTGGATTGGATAAAAAGACAGGCAATAGTGCAGATTGATAGGCCAATCACATTGCGGTCGTAAAAACCAGCACGAGGTATCCGGATCCGGACGTTGCGGCCGCCAAAATTAGCTGGCAGCTTGAGACTGCATCGGCGGCGGCGACAGCAACATGGCGTCCAAGGAGGCCAAGGACGCCAAGGATACAAAGGAAGCCAACCTCATCGCGATCGAGTCCTTCAACCGGCAAGTGGAGGCGTCCAAGGCCGAGCTGCTTGCGAAGCGCATCGAAGAGCTCCAAGCTGAGAACGAGAACCTCCGCTTCCTCCATGCCAAGGGCGAGAAGGAGATCCACGAGTTCGTCGCCTACTTCCAGCGCGAGCTGGGCACGCGCGAGAAGGTATTTGTTCCATGCAGCATGCGCTGACGCACGAACCACGATGGCTAGATTGCGGCCAAGCTCACGGAAGAGCTCAACGAGACCAAGCAGCGCCACACGGACGACGTCGAAGCATGGCACAGCAAGTACGACTCAGAGACCAAGCAGCTCAAAGAGACCAACCGATCGCTCGAGTCGTCGCTGTCGTCCAAGCTCAAGATTGCACAGGAAGATCTCTCGAAGCTCGAGGTGTTCCGGGACATGCGCGAGACGCTCGAGAAGAAGCTCAACGCGGTCACTGACGCGCTAGAGAGCGAGCGGGTGGCCCACAAGGATGCGGTCTCGGTCCTTGAGCGCAAGTTTCTCGAAGAGAAGGCGCGCGCACAAAAGGATACGGAGAAGCGCATCGAAAAGATCAAGCAGCAGTCCCGCGAAGACGCACGCAACATCCTCGACGCCGACACGCGCAAGATCGTCACGGACAACAAGCGCATGGGCGACGAGCTCCGCTTCCAGCTCCAAATGACCGACGAGCTCCAGCGCGAGAAGGACAAGCTCGTCGAGCAGACAAAGGCGCTGCAGCGAGAGCTCCAGCTGCACGATGAGAAGGAGCAAGAGTACGCCAAGTACGGCCAGCGCCAAACGCGCGAGATCAAGCAGCTGCAAGCCAAGGTCAAGACGCTCGAAAAGTCGCTCAGCCAAGTCGTGAGCACGTTTGAGAAGGAAAAGCACGCGCTGACCATCAAGACTGAAAAGAGGTTCGAGGGGCTACCGATATGAGTCGACGTGAGCTGTGGCGATGTAGCTCGACGATGTGAGCTTGGATGCGGACGGGCTGCGGAAATTGCTGAAACTCAAAAACAAAGAGCTGCGAACGATGAAGCGGCTCGCGCAGACCATTTTGGACCAGCGCACCGACGTACGAAAGACAATCGAGTGTTTGCGTTTGAGTTGCGATAGGTCGAGCAATTCTTTCTCGACTCGCTCGATATTGTCAAGGAGCAGCTCGTGGACGAGCGGCGAAAAGCCATCGAGGTCGAGAAGCGCCAAGACGCCAAGCTTGTACGTCCTGTACTGATAATAGCTGCGTCGCCTAAATGGCGTGTCGTACTAGACAGCCGCCGAGCGAGGGCTCAAGTTTCCGCGCCTCAAGCACGCGCCTCCGGCAACGACGAGCAACAATGCGTCGTTTGGATGCAAGGAAAAAGTCGACCTGCGTGCACTCACGTGGGAAGAGCGCGAGCGCGTGCTGCGCCTGCTCTTTGGCAAGATCAACAGCATGCAAGGCTTCTTCGAGGGGACGGCCGCTGTCGAGGACGACGCGCTCCAGACGCCGTTCATTACCGAGGCGACGGCCTCTGTGGGTGGCCCCGTCATGCCGCGTTTTGTGCCAGCGTTCCCGTCGCGACCACCGACAACCAATCTCTAGTCGCTACCAATACGAGCACAAGTAGGATACATGATGACCACAATGGCGTTGCATTAGAGGCAGCCCTGGATCTGTGCGAGGACGGTCTCGGCTTCGCTCTTGTGGATCATCTCCTTGCCGCCCGGAAGGCGGATGAGGTTGTCGCCTTCGTAGCGCGGAATGACGTGGATGTGCGTGTGGAAGACGACTTGTCCCGCGGCGCCGCCGTTGTTCTGGACAATATTGATACCGTCGCATTGGAACGCATCTTGCACGGCCTTGGCGAGGCGCGGCAGCTCCTGGAAGAGCTGCGCTGCGAGCGCCGGTGGCATGTCGAGGATCGTTGCGTAGCCCTCGGCCTTGGGGATGAGGAGGCAGTGGCCCGCCGTGCACGGGAAGGCGTCGAGGATCGCGAGCACGTGCTCGGTCTCAAAGACCTTGTAGCTCGGGATCTCACCGCGGATGATCTTGGCAAAAATGTTGTTGCGGTCGTAGGCTGGCGTCGCCATGCTTGCTTCTGCTGCCTTTCTTGGATACTGTGTGTGGGGCGGACGCCAAACCGATTGGTTTCGGAGCAATCCGAATTGGAGTACAAGGGGTTTTATCAGCACCACCTTATCAGATTATATATATATTGGATCGCGCCTCAATTAGACTTGGTTTTTGTAGGAAAGGGTACGATTTACGATCCAGGACGCGATCCAACGAGAATCCTGGTTGAAGTATACTATCTAGGACAATGCCTATTTTTCATCCAACGTGCCATCCGACAAGTGCAATGGAGCGGTACCTGAACCGCGCACGGGCCGAGAGCTTCTTGATGGACGATGGCCAAGAGGTCGAGGCCAGCGTGCTCTTGCGGATACCAGCGGCCGAGGCCTATGCCTTATGGCTGCGTCAATGCTGGGGTGGCCCTGCCCAGGTACCCGTAGGCTCGGCGGCCTGGCCTCGGTGTTCATCCTCGGCGTAGGTCGGCGCGACGCGGTCGAGCTATCAAGGCACGGAGAAGCTAAGCGTGCTTGCGCCGCCCGATCATGGCAACGAGAGCGACCGCATCGGAAGCGTGCACTACGAGCTCGCGAGCCGCGGCTTGTTCTTTCACGGCTACAAAGCCATGGTGAGCTTCATCCCGGATGCTAAGAACACGGCCAACACGCTCGTCGTGTGGGTCGTCAAGTACGATCCGACGCAGACCAGCATCGTCCTTTGCTGCGGCGGGACCATGCTTCGCCTCCTCACGCGGAACTACCTCAAGAACCAGCTCCAAGGCCTCCAGTAACCAGCGCGCATCGTCGCTCGCTTCTCAGAATCCTACCACCTACCTAATCCAATACCGACCGCACCAACGTTGCGTGACCCCGGGGCACGTCGGGTCCCGGCTCCGCCCATCGTCTTCCGGCGTCATGGCTACTTGTGGGTGGAAGCCGGTCCATGACGTCGTCACTCGTGAACCCATGAGGATGCGCGCACAAACGCTGCAGATTTCCTCGCCTGCGTCTGGCCTGCTTGGTCTGCCGCCAACCGGCCATCATGCAATCATAGTGAGCAGCAACGATCTCTGGAGGCGCCTTGTGCCGCTCGGCGCACTTGGCGAAAGCAGCGCAATCCCCATCACCGGTTGTTGACGGTCCTTGCCTAAATGACCAAAAGCTGCGGGAGATGCTACGTACTGTTAGATGCAAGTATCGTCGGCTGGAATTGTGTGTTCGATCAGGTCGAAGTACCGGTACTGAGCAGTCTGTGCTTTGCAGTCGCAGCTGCATGGCAGCATGGCAGATCATGTCGCCGTTGCACGGGCGTTGCAACCGCAACGCTGTGATCGCCTGGATCGACTTGCATCGTCTTCCTCGCCAACGCTACGACGTCCACTGCACCAAGCGATTCGCGCGCCACGTCAGCTATGCAATGGCATGCTCATCGTAGTATTATAGCGTTTTGGCAGGACCCGCGCACCGGTCCCACTGGTGGTGGTGCCCCGGCGGATGCCACTATTTCTTGATCCGATGCAACAGCCAACCCAGTTGCTAATGCGAATCAGACGTGCATTTGATAGATGCGCGCGCCAACGAATTAAAATGGGATTTCGCCGCGTTCGATACCAGGGTACACATATCATTCGTCGTCGGCATTAAATTCACCTAAAATATTACAGCGCGCGTTGACGCCGCCAGGTCATTTCGCAATTGCCATGCTGCGCGCCCCGATCCAGACGACGAACTCGACGACCAATACGTGGCTGCACCGGAAGCTTCATGCCATGTCGACCGTGCTAGCAGCTGCGCTCCAGCCCAAGCCGCATGCGCTAACCCACGCAAAGAAGCTTCCGTACGTCGCCCCTGGCCGGTTCCTCGGCGCTGCGTTCGACGAGTTTGATCTACCGAGCCCCGACAGCGCCTACACCACCGATGATGAAGACGACGACGATGAGATTCTGCTGTGGGAAGCACCACGACCGTCGAAACGCGAAGACAAGCCCGTCGACTACCGCTGGATGTACGCAGCTGTCGAGAACGAGCTCAGCCAGAGCACGCGAGCCGTCGTGTACCCCGAAGCCTTCCTCGAACGACGCGCCTCCCATGTCGACGAGCCCACAGCTAGCAACGCGTCCGTGCAAAGCCTCGTACCCTCCGACGGACACGCCCTGGACGACGTCCAACTTTAAGATTCACCGCGATCGCATGTGTCGATCCGTACTATTCTACCACTTTAAATTAATACTCTGCGTGCTTATCAAGCGGCAAACTACGAGGCCGACCGGAGGCGATGACCAAAGGCTTCCATCGTCGCCCATGTCGTGGTCAGGCGGTGGGGCCACGCGATGACGGTCGCCACGACGCCGATCCGGCTCCGCTGCGTGAGGAGTCCCGTGCGCTGGTGGCGGCCAACAGCGCCGAGGTTGCCAAAGTCGTTTCGCACGACTTGGAACGCATCGCTGCCCAGGGCGATCGTCGAGATGGCCATGGCGTCGTCGGTCGACGCAGCAAAGAGCGCGGCCTTGGAGGCCGCGTCCGTCGTGTTGAACCAGCCTTCTTCGTGGAGCACGGTACCTTGGGGATTGAAGACGATGATGCCAGCAAACATGGGGCCATGCGACCCCGTCACGCGCAAGTCCTCGACGAACTTGGCCCATGGCAGGCTCGCTTCGTCCCAGCTGCTCACGGCCATGGCTTCAAGTTTTTGTTGCGCTGGAAAGTGCCAGTGTATAAAACAGTGTTTGATACCACCTGATCCAGGATACAGGATATTGTGTGTAGGTCCTGGATGGTTCAGGGCATTGCTACCTCTCAGCACAAACTTGCTCCGGTGTGTTGACGGTAAAGATACTTATCTTTCAACCCATGTACTGAATGGGTACACTCCTCGTCGTCAAATTACATCAAGAATTACATGCAGAGCTTCTGGCCATGGCTACTTGGCAAACACTGGATCAAAATCTTGTTCCAATAAAGTATACTGTATGTAGATGCCTGCATACGGATATACACAAATATCCGGATATCATTTCCAGGCATGTGCAATTCACACTGTCAAGAATGTACTACGAGGCGCGATCTTACATGCACTGCAAGCGTGGGGCGCACACTTTGCAGAGGCGCTTGGCCACGGGTGCCTATGACATCTGCCTCGCCGAGTTTGGCGACGACACGTCAGGAAGCGAGGATAAAGACAACGAGTGCACGCTAACCAACCCGATTAAGACCTGCGAGGCGCATCCGGGGTGTGCGATCCCGTAAAACGTCGTCGACGTCCTCCTCGGCTGTAGCGTGCAAAGGCTCTTTAAAGCTCGATCCTACTTGAATGGGCACACCAACTTGCCGACACAGGGCTTAGTCTTTTGAGCCGCCATCTGGGCGCGCGTATGATGAAGTTGGCGCCGGTGTTGCCGATCGAGTCTTTTGGTATGGTATCAACACGTGGAGCTACAAAATGCACGTCGAGGCTTAGCTTGGATGCGCTCGAGACGCTAGCAATTGCAGCACCCGAGCTCCTTCCTTCGTTTGCAAGAACGTGGTTCGCAGCGCTGCCATCGCAGAGGACTTGACCCGTCTGCCGTACTAGAACTTCGTCAACACCAAGGGAATATTTATTCCCTTGGTCAACACGGCCGGTGAAATGTTCTACCCGTTCGTCATGAAGCTCTGGGCGCTGGTGCCCCACGAACACAAGCTCGTGGCACAGCTCGTCTCGCACTGCATGATCACACTTGGTGCCGTCGCCATTGGAAACAACGCCAACGACTCGATCATTGGCCGAACGCCAGTCTCAGGCCATACCAAGGGCTGCCCCCGCCCGTACTTTGATTCATTCTTGAAGAGTGGCAAAGAGAAGGATCTCGTCATGACGAGTGTCATGGCAAGCTGCGCGTGCGTGCACTGCGTCGTTGGCGATGCATCCGACATGTCTTGAAATCTTCGAGCACCCAGACCTCCTCGACGGCTGCGCGCCGTGGGTCTGCGTCCGCAAGGGACCGTTGCCAGTGATCGCTGAGGAAAAGCGCTACTTGGCCAAGGACCAAGGATGGGCGCATGGCGGCGGCGCTCGAGGACATCTTGACGTAGGTCACGTCGAAGATCACCACCAATCCGCGAGCAGCCAAGCGCCAACAACGCGCTGTCAAGTACTTGTAGTGTTTTGTTTTGCTCTCGTTTTCGATTTCTTGAATAAACTCGTTTTTAACGTCTGGACTACGGAGCCAAGCCAGGTATTGGTTCAACCATACATTCTCCGTGGTTCCTGGTAGTGAGCTACTAAAGGGACCCATGCCGCTCGTTCTGGCCGTGCAGTCGCGCTCTTGTGGTCGATCAGCTAATCGAAGATTCGTCTGCGTGGCGCGCAACCGTACAAAAATACGCATCGCCTGGGACGGTCCACATATTTGCGTCTTCGAACTTCGTACATTCAACAATTGCGACCTACGTCGGACAGGTGTTTTGTGGTCATGACCACGCACGCAGTCATCTCGGGACACAGTCGGCACCGTCCGTGGCGCTGTGTTGCTCCTCGTGCCAATACTTGAGCAGATATGGAGATCACACGCCTTGCAGAGCTCTGGACCACCACGAACAAGTGGAGGATGGTTTTCCAAGTGTTGTAAAAGGCTTGGTGCAAAAGCTCCATTTGGCCACCCAGCTCCACCATCCAGTAGCGTGTCGTGTCGCTTCTCCTTTGTGGTGGAGGTGATTGGTGATCCTCGCCATTCGCACATTTGCCAGCAAACTAACACACGCGATGCGAGGTTTCGTCGCTGCTTGGACCGTAGCGGCCGTCGTCGCCAGCGAGTACCCGTCGTACACGCTTCCGTCCGTCGACATCAACGCACCGAGTGGCCTCGTGACCCTACTTCAAGCCAACGGCATTGCCGCCATCCGCAATGTCCCGCAGTTTGCGTCGACGCGCCAGGCCTACATGGCTTCGGCTGCCGCTTGCCTCTCGTCGCCGGCGCCGCTCGCTGACCGCCTCTACAAGCAGCTCCGCGATCTCACCGAGAAGCAGACATTCAGCACCAGCGTCCAAGACGGCGTGCCGTCGGCGCTTCGAGCGCAGTGCCCGACGTACGCAGCTGCGTACGATGCCTACAGCGCGCTCTTGGATACCACGGCGCGCACGGTCGCCTTGGCCCTCGATGCGAATGCCACGGCGGCAGCGACACCGCTCGCTTCTATTGTCGCGGATGGCAAGCACCTCGACCACTTTCACGGCTACGCCAACCCGTCGACGAACCAAACGACGATTTCAACGGACGACGATTTGTCCCTCGAGATGCACACGGACAACGGTCTCTTCTTGCTGACGTCGGCGCCCCTCTTTTACGATCGCCGCCCGGACGGTTCGGTCGTTGCGATCCCGGACCCGAACCCGGACGCTGGTCTCGTCATCGAACTTGCGGCCGAGCACAATCGTCGCGTCCGGCCGGTGCTGCGTGACGACGAGCTCGTCATCATGGTCGGCCAAGGCTTGCGCGACTGGGGCAACTTTGGCCATGCGTTTCCCGCAGTCCTTCATGGTATGGTTATGCCGCGCAATGCGCCGTCGTCGGTGCTGCGCGGTTTCTCGGGGCGCATGCTGCTGCTGCAGGGCCATGTCAAGATGGCCAACACGGGCATGACGTTTGACGCGTACGGCCAGTCGATCGCGCGCCACTTGCGCAACGAGGACGGCGGCATTGCGTCGTTGGCGTGCCCCGTCGGTCGCAGCCTTCTCGCCATGGACGGTGCGTGCACAGTGGGCATTTGGGCACCCGGGCCGTCGTGCTCCAAGACCAAGGACGAGTGCATGTTTCAGTGCAACAACGAGCACACGGCCGACGACTGCAAGACCGAAAAATGCTGCGTCAAGCAGTCGGAGCAGCAAGGCATCGACTGCTGGATGGTGTGCACGCTTCCGTTCGCGAGCGACGTGTGCGCGGTCGCCGAGTGCGTCGGCCAGGCGCTCACGTGCAAAACGCCGGCCACCAAGGCTCCGACGCCAAGCCCCCAGCCGAGCCCGCAACCGCAACCGCAACCGCAACCGCAACCTAGTCCGAGCCTGCAGCCTCAGCCGAGCCCCCAGCCCAACCCGCAACCTCAGCCGAGCCCACAGCCACAACCGAGCCCCAAGCCCAGCCCACAACCTCTGCCCAGCACGCCACAACCGAGCCCCAAGCCCAGCCCACAACCTCAGCCCAGCACGCAGCCACAACCGAGCCCCAAGCCCAGCCCACAGCCTCAGCCCAACCCGCAGCCTCAACCGAGCACGCAGCCCCAGCCGGGCCCACAGCCTCAGCCTAACCCGCAACCCATCCTAGAGCCCAGTCCGCAACCTCTACCAAGTGTGCAACCTCAACCGAACCCCCAGCCTCAACCGAGCACGCAGCCCCAGCCAAGCACGCAGCCCCAGTCAAGCACGCAGCCCCAGCCAAGCACGCAGCCCCAGCCAAGTTTGCGGCCTCAACCGACTTCGCAGGGAGGACCAGCGCCCGTTTTGGACTCGATGCCAACGCCAGAGCCAAGTCCTTCTTCGAGTACCACGACGGAGCCAGTACCAACGTCGAGTGCCATCACATCGGCGTCTCACGACAACGCGACAACACCGATGCCGACCACGTTCAATGTGACGACTTCAACGCCGGTCGTCACTCGGAACGCCACCAACGCTACGCTCGTACCCAAAACGATCACAATCACGCTGCCTGTCACGGTGACTCCGACATCAACTCATCCAGTGCCGTCGTCTTCCATAGCGATGTCGTTAAGCGGTATCGTCATCTTGCTAGTCACAGTATTGTACTAGTCATTCCTAACCAGATAGCGACAACCAAGATCCATAGCGACAGCTCTTATATCCATGGCCTCGAGGTCACAGCATCCCCTTCTCTGCCTTCACAGTGGTGTGTGTTGTGGTAACGTTCTGCCATCGCACCGATGCTGTACACCCAGCGCGGGAAGCAGTAGATCACTCTACCAGTACCCGCAAATTCCTCGCAGACGGCCGCGCAAACTAATGTATTGGAGCCCCGCCTGCCCAGTGGTGGGCGAGGTGGGTTAGCTAAAATGCTACGGGCTGCCAAATTCAGGAATGGCTTGAGCGGGACCGCACGGCGCCTTGGCTAGTGTTGCCGTTGGGCTTTACTTCTTCTGTTCTTCTGTTGTTCGCTACTGCTCGACCCGCCGCGCGGAACACCTCTTTCTCGTCCCGAAAATGGCCCAAGTACACCAAGAGTCTGTGACATGACACTGCAGTTATGTCTACCCGGTCGTAGTAGCAAGGTAGTTGTCCGTACTTGACAATGCCTAAACAAACAGTCCGCCACCTAATGCACCGTCCTCAGTAACGGCGCAGATCGCATTCGTGGGTGTAAAAGCAAATGGCAACGGGATGAGAAACGCCGGGACGCGCAACGACCTCCTGCGATGGAAATGAGGAGGGATGCGTGGAGAAAAGCATGCGTCAAAAGACTGCGGTGCGTACGTCTGGTCTCGCGGTGGCGTTTGGCGCCTTCGGTTCCAATCGTAGGTGCTGTACAGTTTGCAACAAATATACTGGTCCATACATGTATGATTAGTCTGCTTGAGTGGCTAGAGGCTGTAGGTTTTGCATCGAGAAAACGTCCTACATCGCCACGAGCTTCCAGCACTGGTTGTCGTTGTTGGGAAAGCACGTCCACATCTGCGCCTTGTGCGTCGCGTCCGTCGGGTCGGCATCCAGACACATGTTGGTGTGCGTCGAGTGCTTGATGCGGCCGTTGTCCATGAACCACTTCTGGTTCATGTTGTCAAAGTTGCACTCGTACGTGTGCAGGCCGAGCTTGGCACCGTCGCGGAAGGCGTCGAGGCACTGGCCGTTGGACGCCGACTTGATGTAGCCGTCCTTGAACTCGAAGAGCTCGTTGAGGTTCTGGCGCGCCGAGTCGGCGTAGAGGCCCGTGTACGCTTCCGAGAGCGGCTTGTTGCCCTTGCACGTCTGGATCTGCACGTACTGGGTCGTCGCGCCCGTGCACTTGTCAATGTACTGCGCGAGGCTCTCGCTGCAGGCCTCGACGCGGACGAGGTCACCGTTCGTCGTCGGGTTCACGGTGGCGCAGAGGTTGGCGTGGGTCGCGTGGCGCAGCTTGTGCTCCGAGAGCACCCAGCGCTGGTTGCCGTTGGAAGCATCGCAGGGCCACGTGTGGAGCTCGAAGCGGGCACCATCCTTGTACGCGTCGAGGCATTGGCCGTTGGACTGGAAGACGACCGACTGCGACCCGGCGTTGTACACGAGCTTCTCGTTGCTGCTGTGGCGAATCACGTCGGCGTACACCTTGTTGTTGTATTCGGAGAGGATCTTTTGCGTGAAGCTGCACAACTGGATGTCGACACCAGACGCCGGCGTCGGAGCGACCGTCGGAGCGACCGTGGGAGCCGACGTGGGAGCCACAGTAGGAGCAGACGTGGGATCAGACGTCGGGGCTGCTGTGGGAGCTGTCGTGGGAGCAGAGGTCGGGGCATCCGTCGGAGCCGCGGTGGGAGCTGCGGTAGGAGCCGCAGTCGGAGCCGCCGTGGGAGCCGCCGTAGGAGCCGCAGTCGGAGCGTCCGTAGGAGCCGGCGTCGGCGCAGGCGTCGGGGGCTTCGTCGCGGGCACCTTGCACGAAATCGCCTGGCCCTCGCATTCTTGCACCGCACACACATCAACCGGCAACGGCGCCACGCACACCATCCAGCAGTCAATACCGGGCGCCGTGCCTTGGCTCACGCAGCAGCCGTCCGACCGGCACTTATCGAGCGTGTGTTCGTTGTTGCAATCAAACATACACTGCTCCTTGGTCTTGGAGCACGTCGGACCCGGCACCCAGATGCCGAGCGTGCATGCGTCGTCCATGGCCATGAGCTGGCGGCCCACGGGACACGCCAGCGACGCAATACCGTTGTCTTCGTTGAGCAGGTGACGCTTGATCGACTGGCCGTACTGCTTGAACGTCATGCCCGTGTTGGCCATCTTGACGTGGCCCTGCAGCAAGAGCATGCGACCCGTGAAGCCGCGCATCACCGACGACGCCGCGTTGCGCGGCATGATCATGCCGTGGTTGACAGGCGGCAGCTTCAAGTCAAAGTAGCCCCAGTCGCGGAAGCCCTGGCCGATCATGAC